TTAGAAACCAAAGTTATAAGTTGCAAGGAATATTCAGCAGAATTTATCACGCTTCATTGTCAGGTAAAAGAGAGAATAGATAATGCAGATGAATGAAGTTGTTATACAAGTTCTAAGATGAGATGGCAGCAAAGTGCCTCTAATGAAAAACAGAACAAAATGCCAAAAATTCAATGGGTAATTACTAAGTTACCTCACATTTGGGAGAGGGAGGTTAATTTGAGAAAATGCATGAGGATGAGGAAATTTATGATGTTGGCCAGTTCAATTATTTAGTTCAATCAGTGTTACCTAGTTACCTAGAACTCAGGATAGTGAGTTGATAAACAGTTACTTTTTAATGACGAAAAATTACTGAAAGCGATTTCTCCATTTGAGAAGCACTTTAATTGGCAACAAAGAAATTTTACCTGAGATTTATGTGAGGAAATTGTTAAAATTAATTATGTAAAATGAATATTTGCAAGGGAAGGATAAGTTGCCACTAGTTCACTATTTGGCAAAACTGAATCAAACACTGTTCACTTGTAGCAACACAGGATTCTAAATTACTATAGTGTGCAAATTAATTGGGACAAAGTGATTTTTCTTTTTGATGACTTACTATATACTTTCACATAAAGTGATAACAATAAAATTAATTGAAAATATATCCTCCTTTAGTGCAAATGGCCCACATTTTTATAGTGTTTTTAATTGTGCTCTATTTTGTTATGCAACCCATTTTACTAAGATGCTTCCTGAGAAAGTGCCACACATTTTCAGTTGAATTTAAGTCTGGCAAATTTCCAGGCTAATCTTGTGCAATAATTTATTTTCCAACATGAACCTTCTGCCAAATTTTGAAATGTGGTAAAGAGTCATGTCATGTTAAAATGTCCCTGCAAAGTTTTAGAGAACGGTGCAGTTCTACATTTTAAAATTTCTGTATGCTTCAATGACTTCATCATTCTGTCAATAGAAACCAGATTTCTAGTTCCATATGCAGTGAAAAAAACCCTTAAAAGATTTGTTAAAGGTATTTTACGGTTTGTCAGATACATTACAGATTCACCCATGCTTCGTTTAACAACATTAGATGTGTTAACTCTTTCGTGGGCCATTTATTTCTCTTTTGAATTTCTCCCGTTTTTTTTTTTTTTTTTTTATGTTTTATTATCAACTAAACAATAGCATTTAAGGAAATATATTTTATTTTGCCAAATTTTTTGTTTACATTTAAATTCTAGGGGTGGGAAGTATACTTCCCACGGGACCTTTTATGTGAGAGTGTTATTTAGAGAAAATTCAATTTAAAGGCGATTATTTGCCGTGAAAAATGAGAAACATGTTGCAATGCACAAGGGTACATCACATACTGCACACATATAGCGGGTCCTCTTTTCTTGGGTTTTTGTGCTACATTTCTTACATCGTCTATAGTTGGAAACCATCTTTGGCATATGATTTCCCACATTGGCTAAGCGTATATCGTCCGGAACTGCACACCTTTTTGCTTGGAAGTTAGCAGGACGGCCTTTCCGTTTTCGAGGAATATCCGTCTATTAATTGACGAGCTAATGCTATACAGAATGTTAGCTAGTCTAAACTTCTGTTTCTCTTGTTTACTTGCCACGGTATAAAACTATTTACGATGCCAATATCAATAAGAAAATCAGAAATACGATGCCACCATTCTACAGATCTTCTTCCTATTTGGTATCTTTCTTTCTTTTGATCGAAGCAATCAACCCCTCCAATGATATCGTTATATACTGCAACAGCTTTAGGGCAAGGTACTTCTGTTTTAGTACCATCTTTTTGTGTACGATTTACAGATGTAATAATCGCTGAATTGTGTGCAGTAGTCAAAAATGTAACAGCCTTTTTGTCCATCCACTTTATTGCAGCAACACCTTCCTTAGTTAGGAAACACTGACTGATTACCCTCTTTCTAGTTTGTTCTTAGCCTTCAGCATTGGTGGAAGATCCTTCCTTTGCGGCCTCACAGTCGCCACAGAAAACAGACCACTTTTAAGTAGACGTTTTGCGAGCCTAAAAGATGCCAAATAGTTATCATAGGCTATAAGATGACCTGTCTGTTTCACATCTTCCGTTAGTTTAGTTTGTTTCCCCTAAGCTCAATATTTTACCCTTATTATCAGAAGTTTCTTTTCCACAATAAATTTCAAATTTTTGAATATATCCAGTCTTAGAGTCTGCTAAATACCACACCTTGTAACATCTTTTTATAAGTTTCATTGGCATATACTGCTTCAATGAAGTTCTCCCTTTGAAAGCTATCACACATTCATCTATTCATAATGTTGACGATAGGTTCGTAGACTTTAGGTATGGAATCATTGAGCTGTGAGAGGATTGGTCTGACTTTATTGGAGTTTATCATGCCCAAAGTTGCCCACATGGATTTGTGCTGTTATCGTTTACATGTAAAAGTCTCAGTTATTTTTTTTAAACCTCTTTGCGATTATTATTCTTGCTACTGGTTGAACCATTGAGAATAGGGTCTGTGCTCCAGTAGTTTTCCAGTTCAGGCAATTGATGTTTACCCATGAGTATATGCATACCTACCCATGCTTTCAATTTTTCTGATGTGATTTCTTTCCAGTTCAGAATAATGTCTTTTGAGGTATGACCCAATCTCTTCCTTTTCTTAGGCTGCTTTGCATATGAGTTTCATCAAAAATATTCTGTAAAATTTCCTCGGTAAAAATCATGCCAAAATAATCCTTTTCTTTCTCAGTAGAAATGAATGATATTTTCAAATGTATTTTCAAAAATATTCTAATTTTTCCAACATACCTATTGCACATGGCTTTTATACACAATGCAATAGCATTTTCATTTTCCATCCATTATTTATTATTCAATATTATATAGTTCTTGCAGAAATATACAAAATAAGAGAACGTTATTATAATAAAAACAGTGTTTTACTTACATTTGTTGCAGAATCGTATAGCAATGCAAATGTCAAATCAAAACAGGTGTCTCAATGGAACAGATCTCACACAACGCGTTCGAACTTTCAAAACAAATGTGGTAATTCTGTTTTCAATCGATTGAACACAGATGACAGCACAATACTGAAGTGGGAATTAGAGTTCCCAATGTTATAATACCAAAGCCAATATATTATAGTGGGTTTTGCGCTTCCCACAGGTGTATTTCCCAGGATCATGTAGGTGGGAAGTAATCTTCCCACGGCCCATGAAAGGGTTTTAACATGAACAAATAAATGAGTCTCATCTCTGAAAATGACTCATTCTCAGGTCATTTGTTGTCTAAGATTTGTAATTTTTGGCCTACAATAATGCCTTTGCTATATTTGATGTGTTAAAAAGTTGTTTTTTAATGGGCTTTCTCACCTTCCAACTAACAGTGAGAACCAACCACTGCACGTTTAAAGGATGAATATCAATACTAATAAACAAAAGAACTCTTTTAAGGACTTTGTTAATTTTTATTAGATTAATAATGCCATTTTGGAGTAGGATTAAATCAAATTTTGGAGTTATCTTTTTCCTTCTACATTTGACCTATCTTTCGGGATAAAATGATCATCCATTTTCATTCCGTCTCCTCAGAATTCGAGAAATATTCAGTTTTTCAACACCAACCCAGGAAGCAATATTTGTTACATGGATGTGTGATAATTATTGCTCTCTTTCCAAGCATTATATCCATTTTTAGTACACTAAAATTTACAAATGCGGAATGCATTTAAAAAGTATGCAAAAGTAACTTCCTCTTCTCATAGAAACAAGCTTAAAAATGCTGCAACAGTCAAAATTTATTGTCTAAACAAGTTCTCAATGGTCAAAAGCAGACATATAGATGACAGTAAGGCACATAAAACTGCTTTGAGAGACTTGCTAGTGCCAACTGGAAACCAACTTCAAATTTTGCAAAAACATTCCTTCTTCCAAATTAATTTGCACACTATAGTATTTCTTTCAACGGCCTTGTATGCCCATGTAACTCAACAACATTTGTTTAAATTATGTTGCCTTGGCCGTGGTGCATAGATATCAGATTTCCTTTTCCAGAGGACATGCAATAGCAGCTGAAATATAATAGCAGAGTTGTTGTCCTCAAGGGAGTGCAGAGACAGAGGCGTTCGTATCTTGCAGCTGCCACTGCATTTCCTTAAGAATACAGGAGTAAGAATTCCTAGATTAATGTTCATTCTTTCAGCTTATTCCCAATAATGTCATTGCACAGACATGATATCAACAAGCTATCTCATTTGACAACTGATGTCCTATTAACAGAAAAACACCAAAATGTTTAATGCACATTTAAATATAGTTGCTCTTAAAGTACACTGATTCGATTTGCATGGATCTGCTTATACACCTATCTTTTTTTCACTAAATATGTGAGAAAAACTTTTATAGTTATGGCAGTCTGAAAACAAAAGGTACCAGGAAAATCATATAATAAAATTTTTAAAAGTTATGTGATAAATACATAAAATATATGTAAATACAGTAGAGCTTCACATACTGAATACCTTACACAATTAACACCCATCATAAGAAACACAGTCCCATATTCTAAATCACATGCAAATATCATAATGAAATATTAATTGAATAAATATATACATAAATAAAAATTAGTTGATATTCCACATAGTTTACATAGTTATTTTATGATATTTCTACAATTTTTAAAAATGAGAATTTTTCACATTATAATCAATAAATGCTCATTCATATAAAATTTTATAATTATGATTATGTTACATGTTTAAATTTAAAAAATATACAATAAGAAGCATCAGTTATTCTCTAAACAAGTAACATGAAATATTGAAAAAGAGTTTAAAAAATATACGTTATTCTTTAAATATGTAATGTGAAATGTTAAAAAAAAAATAAAAAGACAATAATTTTGGTAAGCATATTCTCTACTCAGAAACATCATAATCTACTTTTAGAAATGCATGAATATCAAATGAGAAGCATTATTTAAGCACATTCATAAATACATACATTTAGAATAACCTCTTGAGTCTGTACATATATAGCTACTCAGTTTGTTTGACTGATAAACCCCTATCTCTGGATAATCTTCAGTTCTCGGCCGCTTTAAACTGCCTTGATGGTATTGTGTATTATTTCCATTAGTAGATACTCCAACGCCTTCATGCGATACCAGGGGAAGACCATAATTTAATTTGTCTGTAAAGGAAAACAGTGATGAATTTATTACAGGACCACTCACTTGCCAACAGATAATTTTATATATTTATGAACATTCCTTACAGAGATCTTTCTTCATAATAATTTAGATCTTAAGGCAATATTTAGACTAGGTTCTCATCTTATTAGGGTTGCATTATCACCTAACAGGACTTCCAATGGATTTTACATCTGCTTAGGATGATAGTGACAGTCAGAGCACTGCTATAAAATCAACATCCAGGATGTTCTATGTCATATATTTTGCAGTTCACTAAGACAGTAAAGACAGATTACATAACAACAGGAATACTGTTACAGTACACAGTCTGAAATCCGGACATCCATTATCCGGAATGATTTAAAATCCAGACCTCAAAACCACCAACAACGTTTTTTCTCGTAGGCTTTATGCATGCCCATTTGATTCCCCCCTCCGCACATCTCGGAGTCCAAATTCTTAATTTCACTCCGACAGTAAATAAAATAACTTTTTATTGAAGAAGCAATCATTTTAGCATAAATTTGTATGGCCAGTAATTTAGCTCCGTTGCTGCATATCTGCTTGGCACACATCCCACATAGATACATCGTTGATACTTTCCTTTCAAAACTGCATGCTTATCAAAACATGACAACTTGAGTAATGATTCATGTAGCAATGCCTAAATAATTTTTGTATGTTAGTAATTGAATAATAAAGGAGTATGGTAACCTTTTATGTTGACATTACGGCTTGGCGATGATTACAGATTTAAGTCAAATGCGCTAAAAAACATCGACGACGAAAAGTTTACCAAATTTCTTTCCATATGCTAAAAATAGATTTTGTTGATGATACTCTTTGACCCAAAGATTACATTCAGGGCTATTTGAATTAATAACTGATTTGTTATTCACATATACCCAGAACTAGCGCCAATGCTCGTGTGGCCGCACCGAGTCGCAGAATTTAAGACCCACAGAGACTGCATCAGGCGGTAAGATATCTAGCGCCGGCCCTCAATAAGGCTTAAGTATATGTGCGAATTTATTTATTCAGCACTTTGATAAGCATTAGGCATGCACAAGAAATAGACATAAGTATAATAAATAACTAATACAATTCAGGCTTAATTGACTCAGTGTGTAATAGAAGCAAGATAAAATTTAACGGAACAATCTGTCATTAGTCGCCAAGCTCATGATGCTAGCCAAATATATATAGTGAAGGATAACTAAATTTGATGATGATAGCCGCTAATTTTAAAGGTTTTCGGATATAGCAAAACAAAGGTGAAATTTTCCAATTAACAGACTTTGTGAAGAAATGTGGAGAAGCGGTAATAAATGAAGATGATATAAAAGATGTTCTTCATTGTGATGACAGTGCTTCTCAATCAGCAATCAATTAATGAATGGCGAAATCTGTAGTATGGTTCTAGATCCAGAAAATACCGATACTGATAGTGAAGAAAGTGACAGAGAAGTTACTGAAAACAAGAAAATTTCAATTCACGAGTTTGTCGGAATTCTCGAAACAGCAGCTTCAATAATGTAATTAAACAAAAGATTATGTCTGTCTATAGAATTAAAGTGAAAGTATTAGCACAAAAAATGAAGCAACTTAAACAACTTACATTGAAAGAAATGTTTAATAAGGTAAACAAATAAAATGTTAAGCTTTTTTTCATAAATTTTGATACCCTTTAGATCATAAATATTTCATTATTTCATAAATTCCGATTTCATATTTTTAATTTTATAATTTCTACATGCCATATTAATAGATTTAAACTGATGATCTAATATCCGGAAAAATCCCAAATCCGGAATCGCCAAAGTCCCGAGGAGACCGGATTTCGGACTTTGTACTGTATATATCATCAGTTATATTCATATTCAGGATTGAGAGGTACAGCAAAAACAGAAATTTTAAAGACCAAAACAAAAAGATACACAGAAGTCTAAAATTTCAATCTCTTTATTAAAAAGATTTGAAACTCTTATATCAGCGGCTCTCAAAACTTTCCATCAGATTTTTTTCACACAAAATCTTACAGAACAACTTTTGCCTTAACAGCAAAACATATAGTATTCATAATGCCATCTAATAAACACCTTGCTTAAAGAACATTCTATGAGACTTGCCGAAGGAGCTTGCTCCTACTTGGTCGTAAGGGACGTAAAACTCTGTCAACCTAAGGTCTGGTATCCCCTTGGCCAAGAAACATACCACTTAAGAGGTCGCTCGAGGGCAGAAGAGGCAATGCTAAAAAAAGAGGGCCATAACCTCAGAATAATAAAAATGAAATATATACATGATATATAAAATACAGTATAAAGTCTGAATCCAGATGGCCAGTATCTGGAATGATCTAATATCCAGATCTCCAGACCACCAATCCAATAAGTAAATAAATATATAAATAAAATTTAAATAACAAGAAGTATTCCCCTTCTCTTTCAGTAAAAAAATTCCCCTCCTCCTATAAGTCTACGATATTTACCTCCTCCTATAAGTCTATATATTTTAGTCTACGATACGAGAATACGATATTTAATAAAAGAAGCAGATGCTCCTTAAATGCGATTATTTCTTCTAAAATTGAGATCCCAGCATGTTACTTTCAAACACCCATTGGAGCTAAGGAGTGGCACCATGGCCAATGACAATGAATTCAGTGACATACTGATGTTGGGCAGGATCACACTTACGGCCTTTGAATGGTTGTGAGGGGATTATATTTTTTTGTCTGACCTAAACAATAATTTGAAGCCCAAATGTTGCCATGTCTACCTGTCATCCTACTAGATTTTGTGAAATTCCCAACAATTTTGATCTGGGATCTTTGTACTGTCTAATGAACATATAATATACACTGAAGGAACATGTAGGATCAGCTTTAGTCCTCAAAACTGCCAGCACCCAGCATGGCATTGACTCCATAAGGTGCTGATAGGTAGTCTGAGGTCTCTGATAAAAAGCACTCACCAACTGGTCCTGCAATAGGATAGCATGAATTTGATTTTCCAGGTGGGACCACAAATGCTCTATTGAGTTAATGTCAGGTGAATTTGAAGACCAAGACATGACTTGGAAAGTCACTGAAATGTTCCTCGAACCACTCCCTGAAGATTTGACCATTATGACATGGTGCATTATCCTATTGGTAAACACCATCCCCCAATGGAAACACTCTTGTTATAAATGGGTGAACTTGATCTACAACAATGTTCACATAGCACACCGATGTCAGGGATTGTTCTAATGTGATTATGGGTCTGAATGTAAGCCCATGAAAATAGTGCCCACATCATAACACCCCTGCCTACGGCTTGTCTCCATCCAACTGTGCATCTGAGAGCCAGGGTTTCATTTGGAAACCAGTGTATTAGCACACGCAAATTGGTATGATGGTCCAGAAAACGCAATTCATTTGACCATGCAACTTTCTTCCATTCTTCTAATGTCCAATTCTGATGTTTCTTGGCTCACTGCAGACGTAGCTGGCAATGACATGCCGTCAGTACAGGGACATGCTTCGGCCTCCGGCTGCGTAAGCCCATACGCAACAATGTACGCTGCACAGCGTGTTGAGAAACACTGTCTGGATCGCCATTGTTGTAGCTGGTGGTGATTTTGGCTGTTGTAGTACTTTAGTCATGGAAAACAATGCATAGGAATCTCTGCTGTCCTCTAGAATCAATGTGCCGTCGACAACACACTGCTGGCAGGCAACTTGTTGTTTCACGATTCACACACCACTTTCAATATGTGCTCAAAACAACTGCATGCGAATAGCCTACTAAATGTGCAGTTTCTGATATTGATGTTCCCAATCGGCGAGCCATAATGATTTGACCTTTATAGAAGTCTGATAAATCAGCTGGTTTTTTCATTATATCATTAATCATACTACGTTTGGAAAGACAATCTGCTTTATATACTTCAACATCAGCTGTGAGCACCCAGTGGTTTTGTTGCTGGGTAAGCCCACTGTTATAGATGGAGGGTGGTCATAAAATAATGGCTCTTCAGTGTAATGAACTCGGACATACTCAATAGCACACTTTGAAATATTTGTGAATTTTTGATATATTTTAAACGTGGAGCTAAATTTCTTTTACTTTCTCCTCTTTTTTTTTAAACAAAGGTGACACACAAAAAAGCATACAAATAAGTACATTTGCTTATCTTTATACTACAAAAAAAACTGCAAGCTCCCATTTAATAACAGCATCGAAATGTCCAAAGCAAAGTTTTCCCTGCTAAGAAATAGGAGAATATAAAATGACCATTAAAATCCTTCTGAAGAAGTGGAAAGAAGCTATGCCACAGCCAATAATGACATCCCAATTTAGCTGAAATGAATACTGCAAACTAATCTGTTCAATGATGATGCTATGCACTGTTTAGAACAGCTCTAAAGATGATGAAGAAGCAAATGATTTTTGATAACTTCCTGGAACTTGAAAGATAGGCCAAAGGTAGAAATGAAAAAAGGTTGAAGACAAATGAGTCTTCCATCTGTAGTGAAAGATCGGAAAAACAATCTAAACTGAACTAACACCTGTGATTTTGCTTGATATAAAAACGATTCATTCTCAATAAGCCAGAGTAAGGACCCCTTGGATTATCACCAAGTTGTTATTTCATTTACAGTAACCTGAATATTTTATGCTGTATGTTTTGCAAACCATATCATGACGTGATTGGTTGTAATGCACGATCACAGTGATTTTGATTTCTTAGGGCTTATTTCTGCATTGAGTATCGCTTAGGAAAAAAGTTGCTTATTTTGCGCCTTATGCCGTAAAATGGCTGACTGTAATAAGATTAATCTGAAGTTTCTGCACGATTTGGAACAAATGGGGAAAAAAAAAAGCATTAACTGACTGGTGTGTAAGTGAAGGTTTACTCAGTAGTCATTATAACTATCCTGTTTGTATGAAGGAAATGAAGGCTTTGAATGGGTTTGTCTGACAGTCTAGTGGAGTCACTGTGGAGGACATTTTTTATTCTTATTTTTATGAATTTTATGTGGTGACGGCAGTATACAGACAGTTTTTGGATGCTGTTAAGGAATTCTGTTTGCCACACACTGAAGACACAGAAATGTTTAAATAAGGTAAGTCGATATTTCCTTTTTGTACTGGATAGACTAAATAACATGCATTTTCATTCTTATTTCCTTGTTTGATATAAAATGCAGTTTATTAACATTGCATTTTGTTTTAATTATGTTTTATTGCATTATGCTTTGGATGCAATTTACTGGGCAGGACGTTGCATGTTAACAGGAATGGCACCAACAAATCACCAACTTTCGCAAAGGGGTACCCTGGAATATATTTTCCCCTTAATTATTAATACTGTATTCCCCCTTCCATTTTGAAAAGATTACTAAAATTTGTGACTTGCCTTGTAGAGAATAAGCAGTGGATTATTTTCAATGTTACGGGATCCTGCCATAAAAAATATATAACTATTAATGGCTGAGCTATGGTACTTTATTTAAAAACGGATAGACAATGGCAAAGCAACATGAAAGTTTGCGACAAGAGAAGTATGTATGTGTGTGTGTGTGTGTGATTATGGCAAAGCCTTGAGGGCTATCTGCCTAAGGGGGGATGCCTTTGTGGAGGACTTTCTAAGGGAAACTGGCTCGTATACACATTACACATGGGGAAAACCACGAAAACGCCCATGCAGCCAGCCCGTTCGCGGGACTCGAACCTCGGACCGAACTACCAGTGTTCAGCGACTTTACCGCTCAACCACTAATGGGCTCTGCGACAAGAGAATATCCTAACATGGTTTGAGGGCACATTTGTGACTGCAATCTGTTTTATTTACAGCTGGTCGATAGAATTAACATCTTTTGAATGGAGAAAGAACAGCTAAATTTGTGACAAGAGAATATCCTAACATGGTTCGAGAGCACAACTGTGACTGCACTCTTAATGGGGAAAGAACAGCCAACAAAACAACAACAGACAGGAACAACTAACTGTAGTAATTCTGTACTCATAACATTCTAAACAAAGCTTCTTGTAAAACTGGAGGATGATTACTTTGTTACTATAGGTTTTTTTCATATGCTTAATTTCTAATTTGTATCTGTTAATAAAGAGTAATGTGTGATTGTTTATGAAATAAAGAGGTATCAATTCTTCCACAGTTCTTCAGGAACGAGTAGCGCAACTTTGGCAGGATCTTTGCCAACTTTTACGATCTATGGGATAATACATAAAATAATTAATAAATTAGTTAATTATTAGCATTTCCAACATTTGTGGAAATGCTAATACTTAACTGAAATACTTTTATCACATTATCTCCCTGTGAATCTAGCTTGGAAACAGACTGAATTATTTTTATAATAATCTGCAAAAAACATCTCACATTACGGCTGCTTTTGTGGAATGGGTAATACTCATAATGCAAGGCCCCGTTATATGCTACTGTTGATTTGAAATTGTATCATAAAGTTTGTGTTGCCAACAACCAAAAAAAGTTATAATAATTATGTCTCCAATTATGACCTTAAAACACTGAATCATATATATATATACTATATTTTAAGGAAAGAAAAGAAAAAGACGACAAAAAGGATATTCGCTGTTATATTGGCTTTTGCTTTGTAAATGAAGCCAAGATTAAACCACCGATGCAAGATATCTTCAGATGGCCAGTTCTAAATATGATCATTCATAGAAGCTCCAAATAAACCACATGTTATCATATTTTCTTTTTTCATATCTTCTTTTCGAGGAATAAATGACATTTATGATTGCTCACAATTCCCTCATCATGAGAAGAGTTATGAGTATTTTATGTGTTAATTTTTTTTTCCTCCCAAAAAAGTATTAAAAATCATTGATGATGCATTTTTATCTCACATTTAAATATGCAAAAACAACTAGTAAATAAAACTACATATTAATGAAAGCATTTGGAAATGCTATTTGAAATGTCACAAGTAAACAAAAATAATGAGAGAAAGCAACTCGGCCTTTACAAAAAAAAAAAAATACCGAAACAGTTTTATTTAAGAGGTGTACATCTCTACCATCTTATCTGGCAACCAAACAAGAAAACAGATTACTCTGAAAAAGGCTGTAAAAATAAAAGAATATCTGTTCCTATGAGAGATAAACTTTAAACAAAGTCAAAAGGTTTTTTTCACAATACTGGATGTTTAGCAGGTTACACCAAGAAATTGGTTAATTCCTTCTTGTGCAGGTTCTCAATAGAGAGGCAACCACACTCATGACAAAAATCATTGATCAAGTACAAGAAGGATCTGCAATTTATTCAGACTGTTGGTGAACATATAAAAAAAGGTAATTAGAAAACAGGTTAGAGACATTTTATTGTGAACCCTAAATTTCCATTTGTTGATCTAACAACAGCTACTCATACAAAAAAACAAACAAAAAAAAAAAAAAGTCAAAAGACTGTGACATTTTGCTAAGTGGCAGAATAAAAGTCAATGAGGCTTCCTTTGCTATTACGATGAATTTCACCTTGTGAAATACATACAGGGAAAGTGAAGATGAGATGAGAAAATGCTTCTAGTACCATATTAAAAGTAATCATACAAACATAGCAGCCACAATGTACATGTGAAGAGTACACATGAACTTGTCTGTGTTTTTGAAAACCTTCCAGCATGTCATACCTTGGAACTCACAGAAGGAAAGAAAATAATATCTCTTGCATGGTTATTTTGTAACTGTAACTTGGTTGCTGGCAAAAGAATAATGAAGGGCTATAATTATATAATTCTAAAGCTAAAATAAACTCGGAGGCACAAACAACCCTTAGAGAGCCATGGCCAGCAGTGCCCTGATATCTACTTTCTAGACCGTGGGCTCTGGGGTGCTTGTGCATCTTAGCCTGGACAAGTAGTCTGTTTGTCACAGAACTCCCGGTGTTTAGTCCCCAAGCAAACTTGGTACTCATTTATCCACTCAAGAGATGAAAGGCTGAGTCAACCTTTCCCAGCTCGGGGATCGAACCCCGGACTTGTGGTGCTGCTGCGCGACACGCTAGCCACTGTGCCACCAAGCTTATTAATTAATTCTAGTGAAGAAAAATGTTTATGTAGGACATATCCAAAAAAAGTAATAATTATGGCATCTTCAGTTATAATCTCGAGATATTGTATTCTATTAATTTTTGAGATTTTAGAATTTATATCAGGAAAAAATAATATCAGTTTTTGCTTATGTATGATGATTTAAACTTGGAAAAATAAAACATCTCAAAACTGTTACATGTATAATTGCTAAATATTAATGAATTATCAGTTACTGACATACTATAACTTACATTTATTATACTATTTCATAATATAGATGATTATAATAAAAACAGCAATATAATTAGACTTATGTCATAGTGTAACAATATTATACACAAGAAACATAAAACAATAAACATTATACTAATACTGAACACAATATTGTTCTATGCCTCCGCAGTTTGATTGTTTTGATGCACAGCTTGAGGAGCCAATACAATAATTGAATAGCATAATATAAACTCAGAAGGTACTCTTCTGTTATCAAGACCAGATTCCAAAATCAGTATACATATATGTGAACATTTGTGTTTATGTATGCATGTATATACGTGCATATGTATGTATGTGTGTACATGCACACATATATGTACATACATATATACATACATTTCTGAATGTGGTCCCAATAGCAGAAGAGTTTCAATTAGAAACTAATATAATATTATATCATAAATTAATATTATTATATAATATAATTTTTACTAAAGAAAAATCAAGAAGCAAACCTAAAATACGAAATACTTTCTAGAAACATCTAACACAAAAGACAGTTTTATAATATAATACTAAACTTACATGAAACTAAAATAAATTTTTGAATGAAATATATTATGTAAAGAGAATATGTACATAAAATAATTATTAAATTAATGGATCTGATCCTTCAATCTAATTTTTTTTAATATTACACGTTAGTTATATAAAAGATATAACTAAAAAGCAAAGATTAAAAATTGATCTTCTGTAAATGTGAAAAAAAGAAATTTAATTAGAAATAATAAAAACAAGAAAAAAAAATTCTACTCAAATATGACTACGGTATGACTAAAATGTCGTGAGATACCTTGCGAAGGAAATCAGCGGCACAGAATAACAAAAACTTACACAGAATAACAAAAACTCCAAAGAGTGTATATTTTCTCTTAGTTTAACTTTAAAAAGTAATGTCTAATTTATTACCATTACAAATTCGCATTTTAAGTATCATTTTGATTTGAAGACAATATAAAAATAATGAATAAACAATTTAAATAAAATCGAAAATTTCTAGTTGTAAAACATAACCTCTGACCTTTACATTTTAATAAAATGATTGAAGATGAAAGACACTTTTACTACTGTCTCAGACAATATCAGAAATGTTTCGTTACATATTTTCCATACCAAAATCCTCTAAGCTCATAACGGTAAAACCGCTGGTCAGAGCTGGATACTAAAATTCTCAAACAGCAGATTCAAATTCGCCAGCTGTCTGAAAAATCACATAAACAAACAAACAAGCACGTTTTTCTAGTTACAGTTTCGATTACCGAAATTATCCGGAGACAGCGAATAAAATTTTTCGGTTTGAATGTTCAGTCTAGCCTCGAAGCCTGATAACGTAAACACACACTTTTCGATTAGTTCACGCCTTTTAAAAGAAGCTGACTTTTTCCCCTCCCGCTTGTAGTACCACACCCACGGAGTATAATGACTCCTTATATTCCGTGTCCTCACCTTTTCAGTCTGAGCTAACGGAGTCAGTTCCATGTATCGGCTAGCTCCGTTGTGCGTGCTGTTCAGATTTTTCAACTCGCTGCAATGTGGGGGAAAACAGACTTTTGAGATGGGCCGGTTATGTAAGTTGTTTCGCTTAGCTCAGATAAGCCCTAGTCTGAACAGATCAGCAATGACTAATTCGTGATATTCGAGAATAATATCTTCTCTTGCCGCAGTACATGTGTAGCGATCTCGAGAACTAATTAAACGCTTACATTGAAAAGTAGTTCGAATTCGGGAGGCCTTTTGAAACAAAGGTATGCTATTAGACTGCTATTTAATAAACCCATGATCGAACACTAATGTAATTTATCTTCAAGGGCATGCGAAATTCATCCACTGCTTCACTTCTCGGTGGTGCTAATAGATGGCGACACGAGCAACGAACTATATACCAACCAGCACACACGACGTGATCTCTATGCATGTGTATCCATTTTCTAAGCCATTAATTCTTCCCGTCCCCCATCAAAATCAACTTTTCACGGCATACTTGATGAAGCATGACAATACAAGAATGTGGTTCTTTCTAATAAGCACTGTTTGTGTGTTTGTAAACAGGCACTTCAAGGCCATTGCTAACCGCTTCGAGCTACGATCGTTAACCCCTGTAATCACAACACAGCAAAGCAGTTATTTTTTCCATCATTAAAGACTGTAGTTAGAATTCATTCGCGCATTTTTCACGAAGCCAAACACGCAAAACGGAAAGGGAGGGGGGGAATTACGCGACGCGAACCTCATGCGGCAGCTGTCGTTCTCATGAGTTGGGTTCAAGTTGGGTGTTCAACATGACCTTGAATATCCTATTTCAAAGTAAAAGTCTTCAGGCAGAAAGAAAATAATTACAAGAACATTATTCACAAGCATGATTGAACTGTTATTTCGAAAAATTTTTCGCACATTTCTGCTACCTCGCCCTTCTCCTGTTCTTCATTAAAATACGTCCTGCCCGAAGGCGAAAGGCGAAGACGCCCAAGCAATATAGTGGTTAGTGGGCTCGAATCGAAGCTTCATTTTATATACACCTATAGTGGCTGTGCGGCAAGGGGACACTAAAAATACACATCTAGCCGAAAACCTACTCGTTTCGTTGGTGGTACGGAAAGATGCGTGGGAAACTATGGGACCGCCTCCCGAATGTTATCCATCAAATCTGAGACAAAGCTCAACAGTTAGTAAGGCCCAACGATATCATTATGTGTCTTCGAAAATGCACAGAGTGTCAGTCTTGCTTCAACCTGTACCTATACCTGTCCACAAGCGGAAAGCTATCTTAAATTAACTATTTCGAATTCCCAGCGCGTTTATTAGATACTTTTTTTATTTCTGAAAAGTGATTAAATATGTATTATTACTTTCATGCATAGCTGTAAATGTAACGCTCGATTCATTCTGATTCTAAATTCCAGTGGGATGTTTTCCTCGTGCCTTTCTCTCTTATTCCAGTGTTTTCCCCATGCTTATTAAATAAACAAACAGAAGGTCCCCCCCCCGCCAGTATAATCACTTAACAGTATCTCTATTACTGTATTAGTTGTTGATTGAATTATATTAATTGTCTTAGCATTTCTTTCGACGGTGTTCAGGACAAGAATTCAACCCGGTAATTAATAACAGTACCGATTACTGAAAAATACTCTGAGACACTTTTCGGTCGCAGCCGTAAAGCTAAATATAACACTGAAGAAAGGCATCGTGAAATAAATTTAACATAATAATTTAGACACAACATGTTTTTAATGAGGTACTTATGTTGCGGACTTTTTACAGACTACTCATTCAAACTTGCTTCTATTTATTTCTTCATAAACATATTTTTCAAATAAATCATCTCAAACTCCAATTATGAATAAAGAGATCCGTTTCCTGATCGAATAGGAACCCAATAATAATAATAATAACGTGTGTTGTTTATATACATTATATATAACATATATTTATACTTTCCTTTTAAAGGATATTGATGAATTATCTTGCATATTTTTTAAAGTAAAGTTACTTTTATATAAAATTCTTTCAAATTTGAATGTTTTAGGGTTTAACTTTCAGTACAAACGCACAGTGGAGTGTTATATTAGCTGTTGTTATTGCCAACGTTGTTTCTTAAAACGTGACTGCAGAATTCTTGAAGTCAAATGAATACTACTACTATAATTTTATAGATTTACTCAGTTTACTTCAAAGTGATACAACTTATTATATACACTCTTTTGAAAAAAAAAAAAAAAAAATCGAAGCACCAAGAAGGACTTGCAACCGTGACGAAATTTGGTATGCAAAAACATCTTGATCGAACATGCAAATGATTAAAGTTTCAAGGCAAATGAACAGGAATTGCGATCATAGTGCGCATTTCGCAAAGTATAAAACCAGTAACAGAGGCGGAAAATTTATAATTTTTTTTTTTTTTTGGTTGCTGCCATTGTAATTCCGTAAAGAAGCAACTAAAGATGCCATTACGAAGATATCAAGGACCTTACAGACAACTAAACGACTTCGAACGTGGTCGAGGTGAATAGCCGGCCACCTGCAGCGTACAGACACTGCTGCGCAAAGATGTTGGCAGCAATGGTTCCTACAAGGAAATTGCCGACGAAATGACGGCTTTGGAAGGCCAAGGAGCACAAATGCGAGGCAAGGTAGCATGATTGTTCGCCAGGCCGGAACCGCCCCAACGGTATCATTGTCGACTATTCAACGCACTACAGCCACGTCTACCATCTCACGGCGCTTGTCTGAAGCGGGGTTACGCTCACAGAGGCCTTTAAGACGTTTGCCTTTGACCCGACAATATCGGCGGAGTCGTCTGGAATGGTGTCGCAGCCGATCATCATGGCTGCCATCAGACTGGCATCGTATAGTGTTCAGCGATGAATTTCGCTTCACTCTTGAAGCAGATGACCACCCTGTTCGTGTCTAAAGAGGATGGGACCAGCGGTACCAATCAGCCTTTGTTTTACAAAGACATACAGCCATAACTCTGGAGTGGGGCGTTATTTCTTATGACAGCAGGTCATCCTCCGTACATCTTTAACAGCTCAACGATATGTTATTACCATACTGCGGCTGGTTGCATTACCCTTCATGGTACGTCATCCTGGGGCCATTTTACAGCAAGATAATGCCAGGCCACATACCACTGGACTGTCTCCGTGCGGTTGACACTCTTTTCCTTCGACAGCAAGGTCACCAGACTTTTCACCAATCGAGCATATCTGGGGGACAGTAGGCCGCCAGATTCGGGCACCACAGAATATCGCATATTTGGAGCGACAACTGATGAATCTCTGGCAGAATATATCGCAGGATGACATTAGGAACATCCACCACTCCTGGCTCGATGAATTCAAGCATGCATTGCCGCCAGGGGCGATTCGACCAACTACTAATTTGGACACTCAATGGGTGATTGTGAACAGTGAACAGGTACTCTGACCTTCATTTTTTAATCATTATCTGTGCATGAGCTATACACATATTCAATTTCATCAAAAACAACGACTTCCTTCATGGTGCTTGGATTTTTTTGCAAAAGAGTGTATATATCAATAAGATAAAAATGCACAGGTTTTGGCAGTTCCATACGAGACACATTTCTGAATATAGGAGAAAAAATGCGATGAAATTTCTATATGCTTTTTGATATTTCTTGTAAAGGGATGGAATACTTTACTGAAACTTAACAGAATAATGGATGATTTCTGAGAACTTTTATGTTTTATAAAGAAGGGGGTGGAGAGATTATAACAGGCATGAATTTGTTCTGTAATTTATAAATTTGTTTTCCCTTGGTCACTTAGACTTCAAACCACTTAACTGTTGCTTTTTTTTAGAGTTCCGATACAAAAACGTCATATTTTTTTTGTTCATTTTTTTTTATAAGTAGAAAATGTTATTAAAATTATCATTTATTTTTTTCACATTTAGAGTATCTTTGTACCGCAAATAAAAAAATATTTTTCCTGGAAGTTGTCTTTCAGGAAAGTTACAATTGTATACATAAAAAAGTACAATTACTATAGTTACATTTACTTAGCCTTTTTCATTTCAAAGTTCAGATTTAGCATATTTTTTAAAACAAGGCGAGAGAGACAGTCTAAATAAAAATATAAAGTCTCTTTTCTAATTCTTTTGCTGTTGTGATATTTTTTTCCCCCAGTGAAGATACATATCACTGCCTTGTGGGTCTTTATTTTTTGGTAGATAAAATCCCTCTAAAAATGTCTTCCTACTAGTCTTATTGGAGATCATAAATACCAACAAAGTCCTTTCCTTTACTTTCTACTGTTGCATGCCTTTCGGTCAATTAAATGATAATATGCAACTGCAATTGTAAATTTGTATCTTCGCTAATGTGCTTTGTATACTATTGAAGTCATTTAGAGAACTTTCACTACTTCACACTCGTTCATAAACACTTTCATATTCCAATTTCAATCACGATCTAAGTTGTAAGAAAGCAGCTGCATGCAATTTTCAAACCACAATCATTTTATGGTAAAAAACGTTTTAACTACTTGTACATCAATAAAATTATCAAATAAACAGTAAAATACATGCAAAAAGCTAAGCATTAAAAGACGAAAACTGGCCCAATCACGCAAAAGAAGTGAAACAATTGTACATTTTTGAACCAACTAGAGTAAAATAAAATAAACTCATCAGTCGAGTTCCAGTCTTTAAGCCTGGAAAGCATTCAAAATGCAGAATAAAACCATTTTTTTGTTTCAATAGTTAATTAAGGAGAAAACAATTCATTAATATTTTTCAATTTCAATATACACACTAATGTATACCAGATGGGCTAATTTTATATTATTTATCAATTTAAGTCATTGTAAGGTACGATGTTTTCTGTGGTGAACGTTTGATTCAACCTTTGCTTTTGATCTGATTTCTCAATACTTTCATTCATTTAATATTTTATGATTTGTAAGCAATGTTTATTCTCATGATGTATGTAATTTTGAAAAGAATACATTAGAAATTGATTTTCAATAATTTTTAAGAATTTTATCTAAATCAAATGGAAAATCTTTATTTCAAAGATTACAAAATCACTTTTATGCTTTGGTTGATTTTAATATCACGTTAACTTAAGAGATTATAATCTGTTCCTTGGGAAATTAAGTCTTCTATGATAAGAATGATGCATACTATGCATTCAATCATGACATGACTGAGAAACTGTTGCTTTCTAAATTTAACCAGATACATTAAAAATCTACTTGTAAAGTTAAAAGTAATTACTTAATAAAGTAATATTGTATTTTAAACAAATGTGATCATAATCAATTAAATATGAAGTTTCCCTTTTTAAACTAAAGAATATTTATTTAAAATGCAATCGTACTATGACTTGGCTAGTCAACTGTTCACTATAACATTAGAGATACATATTTTGTTTGTTTGAATAAATCAACAGGAATGCATGAGAAATGAGTACAAATATTTCTCATATTCACTTATTCAATGTCAGTTCTATGCCAGTTTGAGCTTCTGATTGTTTTAAATAAGATTTTAAATGAAAAATTTTCTTGCTATACTTGACAGTGAACTGAACAAATTTTTCATTCAGAAAATTATTATAATGCAAGATGCAGTCACATTTTATTTCTTCTAGTTATGATATAAACATTTTAGCAATTTTTGAACACTGGTATTTTTTTGATTACTCAAAGTTTAATTTTCCTATGTTAGTCTTTTACCAAATTCAAAAAGTACCAAGCACAGTTCAAACATTCCATATAAAAATAATGCAACTTTATACAGCATAATTTGATGTAACTATGAGATGTAGATGGAAATCATATTTGAGAAAGATATTCTTATGTGCTTTGAATAACAGGGTGTAATGACATTCAAACTGAACTCGCATTTGGACTATAACCTTTCAGATTATGCAATGAACATTTGAATGATAATCTTCCAGATTATGTAAGAAACACACATTCTTCAGAACAAGAGTGCAGTTTTAGTTGAATTGAAATAATTTAAAACTAAAATTAATTTTCATGTTATTTTAATGTTCAATAAGAATTCTACAATTATTATTAACTTTAGGAGAAAATAGAATATTTTTCTCTTTTACCAGCTTTTTAAACATTCATTAACCCCTTCGTGCCAGCAACGAACACACTCACCTCCCGGCCGACACGCAGGCGTGACAGAGCCTTTTCCCGTTTACTACCGACTGTCACGTATTTGTGCCAGTGTCCTGGAACGTTTTTCAAACTATAATTGCCACAAGATGGCACTGTACGTCCATATGGTTCAGGTACATGTACATTAGACCTTCTACTCGAAATGAGAGAAGCCATGACTCACACAACACGTGTTTTTGATTATATAAACAAAAGGGGGAACTAAATGTTTCCGAATGGCGTGATTTATTACGTCTCTTTAAATTGCACTTTATTCGCACGTGGTAGTTGTTTATTGTAAGTAGAAGTTTTATATGCGCTAAAGCGTTGAGTATTTCGGTTTGCAGTTCAGTTTTTAAAAAATGATTAGATCTTGTTAGACGTGAATTCTTTCTGTTTTTACCGTTGCAATGTCAAAACGTCGAAAATTGTTTAACAGAGCATGAAATAGCATGAAATGCAAAATATTTCAAATATTGATTCTGAAAGATTAACTGAAAGACATTTTCCAAAACTTTGTTCAGAAGAGACTGATAAGAAAATGAGACAACGATGCTTTGTTTGTTCACATTCCCGGAAAAATCCTCCAAAACGGCAAATGAGTTATTATGAGTGCAAGGAATGTAACGTAGGACTCTGTGTAGATCCCAGTTTTCAAATTTTTCATAATAAAAGAGAATTTTAAGTACTATATTTAGTTTTCAGATGTATAATGTTAAAAGTCATAAAATGGTGAGTAATTAAAATAAAATGTGTAAAATATGCATTTAAACAAGAAATAAGGTAATTAAAGTATATATATATAAATATCTATAAAGCATAAGCCGTTAATACTCTATAGAGCATTATTAAACAATGTGTTGATACTTCGGAAATTTCATGGATTTAGGCTTAGTAGCAAAAAAGCTCCAGGCCCTGGAGAGACGCACGCGTAAGACACTGCCGGCCTCCGCGAAGAGCGCGCGTTTTCGCTACCCAGCTCAAAGGGGTTAAATTATGGAAAACTTACATAAAATAACCTGTATTAATTTATACACCGCAAGTAACTTTCTGCATTAAATGCATAATTAAATATTTTTCAATTGATCCATATTTTTTAAATTAAACTTAAAGTGGTTTTCACAACATATTACTGCACAAAAGTTAATAACATAAATGATTAAGACACAATAACACACTGAATAAATACTAATTCAGAAGTCAAACAACAAAAATCAGCGTTATATTTACAAAATTTTCACAGAAATGTTTAAAAAGCTGTGAAAATTTTGTAAATATAACGCTGATTTTTGTTGTTTGACTTCTGAATTAGAACATAAACGATATTCTAGTTATGCTACACATACGTTACACAAAGTGTTTCATAAAGTTAAAAGCGTGTGCATCATTAAATAGCTATTGAAGATCTTTTTGTGAATCCACCTTTTCACTTTTAAGAATGAATATAATATGACAATTCTGATTATTTGCTATCTTTCAAGAAACCCTTTTTATACAGGCTCCATAAAGATAAAATAAAAAATCTCAAATATTTACCAAAATTCTGAGGGATTGCATATAAAATTTTAAAAGGTACCTTTAATAATTAGTCACAATGAAATTGAAATTATACTTTTTAAGTGCACTGAATTGGTCACAAGGACAAGCTGCAAACTATTGTTTCTATGCAAGATTTATAACATTGCCATAAAAAATTCCTACAAAGGTAAAAAGGGCAATTTATCACCCAAATGAACAAGTAATGTAGGTCTATACAATTACACATTTAGTGATATATTCCTATGACATATGTATTTTAAATTTGAACTATTAATTACACAATATATGAAGGAATAAATAATTGTCTTGTTATAGGACTATGTACTGCATTTTTCATACAACTCTTTAGGCTTTTGAAATAATTAAAAAATATAGTAACACACTTTTATTTTAATCAAGCTGAAAATTAGAACACTCTAGAAAAATTTAAGGTATCCAATATCTAACATGTTTAGATTATTAACATGTTAGATGTTGTTATTGCTTTAGATTTATTTTAAATGTTATATTTCTACTGTACATAACAGTGAGCAAGTTCAAAAGCTTTAAGAAACCAATTTTCAATTTTAATCAGTTTTTAACATCACTGAGATAGCTTAATATATTTTGTCTACACGTGGTCCTCTGTGATCAATTTTGGGTTCCCATGAACATGACACAACCATCACATTTTTTACCTGTACTGTAAAATGTGGTATCTAAAAATGTGAGCTTTATTACCTATTGTATTATCTGGCAGTAGCCATGGGCAGAGTTTCTATTATTCACAATTACCATGGTTTTAAAATCAATGCAAATCAAAATTCCTCTGTATATTTTTAATAAATAATATATGATCAGAACTGTGATTTTTAGAAAGCTATTTGATTTATTTCTTAAACTGGGATCTTAAGTTTATAACCAACTATTTAACAGATATTGAGTTATGTAGCCTTTTTTAAACACCCAGGACATATAGTCTTGTTTAAGATACTACAACACATGTACATGTGCTGTAAATTTGTTTTCTTTCACTTGTATCAAAATAATATGTAAAAGTGACTTTTATATTCATTAAAATCAGTCACATAATAAAATTGGGAAGATTTCCTTAATAATTTCATTAAAATTAACTGAAGTTGTAATCAATTCATGCCAATTTTTGAATACAGAAGATACTAAATGACAACTTCATTACATAAAATAGTAAGTTTGCAGCTTATATACATGAAAACATCTTACTCGTATTCATATTACAGAAAGAAATTGTATAACAGAATAAATCAAAATTATAGCTCAGAGAAATACATTTTTCATTAAAACATATACATCAGGATAACACTGAATGAAATTCATTTTGTTACATTTCAATAATATTTAAATGAAAATAATAAATAAAACAACTCTTTGAAGAAATTTTATTTTTATAGCTCTTTATAAAAAGACTAATATATCTGATATAAGGAAGCACTTTTTACAAAAATCAGAATGTATGTGCAAGTAAACATATATAAAATAGTAACTATTTGAGAGTGAAGTCATTCTGCAAGTAATAATTATAAATTGATGGATCTACAACACTAACATACAAAAATCAAAATGGTATGTGCTTTAAGTCACAAATACATAAATAAATTTTTCTTCTCTGACTAGCAAATAAGAATGCATAAGTAAAATGAGATTTTCACAAGCAAAACATAAGTTATGATATATGATAAATGAAAAAAAGAAAGCATAACCCATTGAAATCAAAATAAGTAAAAGAAAAATATGATGGTCCCTTCTTTCAAATAATAACATATAGCATTAGTTTAAAAGAAGCTTCAACACTATGAATTACACAATATGCAGATGTACATACAGAGATAACCATACTTCATACAGTAAATTCTAATACTTGAATTTTATAATTACCTTATAAATAAAATATTTTTGGCCTTTACTCACAAATTTTAAAAATAGTTTACATGTGCCACTTCACCACAAAATGCAACAGTATAAACATGCATGTTATACATAACAAAAGAAAATTCATTTCATAGGCTTTTCATTGTCTTTTCTATTAATTTTCAAAATGTAATGCTTTTCAATATAAAATTACTTGAAAATTCTAATGATGTCAATATCATTGCTTCTTAAAATACAGAATATACAATCTCAAACATGCTAATATTATATATATAAAACAAATCAATAAAATATATCTTTTTAGTACTGTATTTACATTGTTTGCTATTACTCATACGATTGTCCATCTTTTGCTGCATTTTTTATCAGAACTCCCTAAATGACAAGGCCATTTGAATTCTTAAAATATAGCTTAAGAAATTTTGAATAAAACCAACAGCATTTCATAATAAATAGAATTAACAAGGCTTTACAATAAATCACTATTAAACAATGAACGCTATATGGATTATTACATATTTACATAAGACATATTCATTTAGTATTTTAAAATCAAAACTACTTTTATACCTAAGTGATACCACTTAATCTTCTACATCAAAGTCCTTTATTAAAAATATCTCAGATATTACAGTGCAATTATATTACTTTATTTGAAGATTAAAAAATATCTTAAAGTTCAAAATTTTATGGAGGAGAAAATATATGTACATTCTCCATTACATAAGTTATTACAAAAGGCAGTATTTAACAAACATAATACTGACATTAATAACACTTCAACATTTGCTCATCACAAAAGATAGATAAATATTATGAATGCCCACTTCACTCAACTTCCATCATGAAATCATAACACAAGAGAGAATAAATACATAAGCAAAGGGATTTTTTAACATTAATATTATTTAATTTATAAAAATAGCATACATGAAAGTTCAAGACTAAATATTAAGTACAGTAGCAATAATTTTTTTAAACCTAAATAAAAATGAAATGAACATCTTCTACCTCGCAGAACTTTTAAAAGAAAAGATTTCAATTAATATCTGAAAACATCTTTTCAAAAATACATCAGAGTTCAACACAAAGAGAAAACATTTTGACAATTTTATCATGACAGGTTAGAAAAATGAGATTTTCTTCAAAAACATTACACTAGAAATACATATATATATATATATATCTGAAATAGAAAATACCAAATCTTCAAAACAAGTTTACAGATTCAATTTCGGCATTTTTAAGCCATTTACCTACACTGTCACAACTTAACAAAAAACCAAATTTTACAAATATACAAAAATTTACTCATATAGCACACTTATTTTGTATTGTTTGTTTCTAGCAAACAAAAACAATTATTTAATTACAATTACTTTATTAAAGCAAAAAACACATAATTAAGCTATAGCTGTTACCTGCAATTTTTCATGATTTTAACCAACACATATTACAATCTGAACTTTATAAAAATACACTAAAATATGTTAAAGCAGAGCTTAGTTGTCTCCCAAAAGCAGATTTACATATAAGGAGACAAATATCTCTAACATAATACATAATATATAAATAAATGTCTCCTAAAAGAATTCTTGATAATATTATAAACTTTCAAAAATTCATTTAGGAGAATACAACAAGTTTGCAGCATATACAAAATACATAAATAAGCTCATGTTTTTTAATAACTTCACAAGCTGCAAATCTTTGAATAAGCTATTAAGTAAATTTGTAAAACAATTAAATTCAAAACAGGATAGATTGTCCAGCAAAATTCAACAATTATACCTAATCAATTCATCCTGAGATGTTTACTACACCTCACCAAATTCAACAGTTAAAATTACGAATTCTGGTACATTGCTAACGTTTCTTGAAGCTTTTGAGTAATCTGAAAGTGAAACAAATCAATAATTAGAACAAAATTGCATTATTAAGAAATGCATCAAAATCTTAAATACATTAACTGTGTGTGTGATTATGGCAAAGCCTCGAAGGTTATCTGCCTAAGGGGAGGGATGCCTTCATGGAGGACTTTCTAAGGGAAATTGGCTCGTATACACGTTACACATGGGAAAAACCACGAAAACGCCCATGCAGCCAGCCCGTTCGCGGAATTCGAACCTCGAACCGAACTACCAGTGTTCAGCAACTTTACCACTCGGCCGCTGGTGGGCCCATTAAATACATTAAGATATTTTTATGAAAACATTTAAAAATGTAGACATGTGCCCTTAATTTATTAATTGAAAATATTTGATATGACATTAAATTCAAATGTATTGAAATGAAATATTACACCTAAAATACACATAGCTTTTAAACATATTTTTCAGAGACTTTAAAGACAAGAAAACATTTATTTCTACAAAAATGTGAATTACAAATTATGTTTTATATTTATTTATAAAAAATATTTCCCCATAAATAAATTGTATTTATAAATATTTAAAATTTTGAAAAACAGGTTTTATTTATAAAATGTACACTTAACATAAAATATTTCATGTAATAATTAAGATATGACTAAAATATAAATATTTTAGAGATTTTAATGAAAACAACTGCATGCATCAGAATTTGATTTACAAATATAAAATATTTGCTATGATATTAAATTCAACACACACATTCCAGCTTTTACAATTGAATTGAAGATTATATACTCACTCGCTGATAGAAATCGATTTGAGCAGTAAGATACGTTTCCATCATACTTTTAAAATAAGCTACTCTTTCCCGTTGAAAGTGATTCATTTCAGCCAATGCTGCATAAGATATAACATCAGTACGTTGGCTGATAGCTGCTACATTGTCTGAGCTCAGTTTTCCTTCTTCAGATAACTTTTTATGTTCTGACACTTTATTCAATGCAGACTAAAAAAAATATAACATACTGAATAAAACACTAGCTTAGAACAAATGTCTAAAAGAAATGATAGGATTAATGACAAAATCAAAAAATTAAGTGTAACCCTATTCTATAACTCATATTTTTCAATTATTACTGATATTCTGAGTGAAAATACATTGTATTTTGATAGAGTTATCAGAAAGCAAATAAATAATTTTTCAATTATTCACAGCTGAAAAAAAAAAAAAAAAAAAAAAAAAAAAAAAAAAAAAAAAAAAAGCTTTAAACTTTTTTTTAATCAAAGCAAATTTCATTACATTATTTAGTAATACAAATAATTGAATAAAAGATGCTAGTTTATAATAATATGAATAATTAGATTAAAAACCCCACTACATAATGTTTTTAAAATAACTTTTAGCAAAAAAATTTCAACATTTGTAATCCATGAATTTTACACACTTAGTACACACAACTAATTTGATAGCTTTCAGATTAAACACTGTCATATTTGCTATCATTATCACCTGTACACTTGCATTATAAACATACTTCAGCTAATCTTTGGAATATGGTAACAGGTAGTTTGGTGACATTTTGGTAAGGCGATAAAGGTTGCTAGCTAGGACTTTAGCAGTGTACATGGATAAAGTCAAGAGTGTGCGCAATGCCATTTTTGTGCAATTCTGGGATTTTTTTTAAGTGAAAATATGTTGACGTGTACATAGATGATACTGTGTATGTGCAATTCTTCAAAATGTGACAAGCAGTTTGCGATTCTGCACTTTCTCCCATTTTCGCACCTAATCTTCGTCATGATTAACCATTTTTTTTCCATAAAAGTTCTAGTATAAGCGTAATTCGGCTAGCAGATTGTTGGAAAAAATGTTGAGTAGAAAAAAAAAAAAATGCCTTTACTTCGTGAAAACAAAATGGCGTCCAAAACAAACAAAACTAGCAGGTGCTGTAGCAGGGTTGGTTGCCAAATTTTCGCCAAAAAATCTCCAAGTTACCATAATCCAAAGAATAACCCATATTTCTTATAGGGTTAATAATGTTATCAACTTTATTTTCACAACTTTATTAGTCATAATCCATAACATCATTCAATTTTTTTAGAAAACTTCCTTTTTATGTAAGGCCGTGACACCTTTTTTTTTTGTTGTTGTTGTTAAATACTTGTAAAAAATTAACCAAACCTTATCACAGAGAAATTCAGACAGAAATTAAAAAAAATATGAAATAAAAAAATAAGGAATAACTTACATACATTATCAAAAAGACATTCATTTCACTTAAGAAAACAAAGTTTTGCGCAGTGTTGCCCCTTGGTGACAATGAATAATAAATGGCGAAAAAAATCCTTCAAGAAGTGGAAAAATTATTCTCTAACTTCAAAATGTAATTTACACTTGAAAACATTCCTCCAACATTATTTGGGCACTCTGTGATTGCAACTTGGGACTTCCACAAAAATATTTTTAACAGTTAATACTGCTTACATGCATATGTGTGTATCATTTACATAGCTTTCAAAATTATTTCTTTTTGTCTGTTTTTATGATGACTAATAAGTTCCAATGTTATCTAAAATCAAACCTTGTATACATTGTATTTATCATATTTAGTCAACAGTTAAGCACATTCTATTAAAAAACACTTTATTTAAAAAACTGATTTGGATTTTGCATATAAAAAAAAAAGCAATTTAAAGAATAAAATTTATTATAAATCTGAACATCACACATAAGTATATCATAAATATATCAAATTATGAAACTTAAATAAGTATATCAAAACACGTAAGTAGATCAAATTATGAAACTTAAAATTACTGGAGCTGAAATGTTTTAAAAAAGATGCTACATTGCCAGATAATTTAATAAGGGATACTTATGTCATTCTGAGCCAGTCATACAAATACATATCTCCAACACATAAAAAATATTAATAAACTATATTAATTCAATTTATATGTGACACCATACATTAATAGAAGACCAATTGTTCAAAGTGCTTGCTCAACCTAAGTTAAGTAAAATTAACTTTCTGAGCAGCACCGCCGTCTTATCACAAGACTTTTTGTTATTTGGCATTTTATTAAAATACCTTGAATATGCTGCCTTTTATTTAAAGTACCTTGGAAAAACATTCTTCAATGATCTCAATATTATCTTAATGAATGGAACTGCTGAGAAAACAAAAAGAAAATAAGCAATAATATAAATTTAGTTAATAAATGCTTCATGCTTTTTAAGTAGATCTAGAAAGGCAATGGCTACTCAGAGGTTTAAGATTGTTACTAATGTATATAATATATTTATTTAAATAAAATAAAAAGCACTGTATACAATACAGCACATATTTTTTAGATATATTAAATTAGTATTAAGCACACTATAATTTTGTCTAAAACATCTTGCATTTTGTTTCATGATAATTTTATTACTTCTGCATAATCTTATTACCATAGCATACAATAGCAAGATAAATATATGCATTAAAGTAGATTGGTATTTGGTCTATATAATAAAGATATTCAATTATTCATTTTTTTAAATATTTGGATGGGTTGTGGTCCAATTAATCTAGATATCTAAAGTTTTACCAATATAAACAACAACAAAATTATATTACAGTATTAAAAATTGCATTCTGAGAAAACTGAAATATTATTCCATTTAGGCTTCTTTTCTATCATATTTATATATATACAAGCACAAATTAGCATATCTGTTTAAGGGAAGAAAATCACACCTTTTGAATATGTATTACATCAGGCCAAGCAGATAACATCCCTTTGTATTCATGTAAGACATCTGCCATTGGTTCTACATCATATTTAGGCTAAAGAAAACATATTTTTTAATATATTAAAAAGTAACATATATTGCTCATATATATTAGAAAGTAATATTCTAAGAAATCAACTTCAAAATATAATAAATTATATTCCTGCAAACATCGATAATCTTAAAGGAACTTGAAATCATATTTATCTATGTTCATTTACCTTACTTAATACGCCATTCTTTTACTATCTCATTTTAATTACTTCTTAAAAATACATTTCCATGCTTTCACTCAAGACCATTCTTATTTAAGTACATCTTCAAGATCTTATAACTTGAATCAAGAATTCAGGAATATTTTCTGTCTCCTTAATATATGAATCTTAAATATATTAATCAAGTCTCAACTCAAGATTACTAGTCAAGACTTTTATTCAAGAATTACTCTCTATCAAGAACTTCTAAGAACTTTTCATTCAAGTCATCCTAATTCATTCAAAAACTATTTCTGATGAACTTTTATTCATGTACTCTTCACTCTCCATTCAAGAACTCTCTAATCAAAAACTATATTCTTATTCTAAACTCTTTACAAAACTTATTAGCCCTTCTATTCGCATACATAATGTACATCATTTTCAAAATTTGTTAAGTATTTACTTATGTATTATTTATGTTTCATTTTTAAAGTATTTACTTATTAAGTATAACTTTTTAAGTATTTACTTATGTACTTATGTTTCATTTACTTATATATTTATTTAGGTATCATGTATTTTTATATATTTAATTTTTTAAACTTTTTATTATATAATTCTCAAATTCTATTATTATATTGACTTCATATATAACAACATTGTATTTAGACATTTATCTAATTCTAAATTTTTAATTTTTTAATTGTATCTATTTATGTATTTTATTTATTGTATATATTTATATATTTATTTCTTGATATTTAATTTTTATTATGTAATTATCAAAATTCTAAAACTTATTGAATTTTATATATAACAACACAGTTGGTAAATGATTTCACAAGTTGAGCATAAAAGCTGAATGTCTTAAGGCTGTGCAGCTGCTCATCTGATGGTAAATAAATAACATATTTAACAATGACTAGAACAGAATATTAAAATTTTGCATTCAAATTTTGCTTATCTGAAAAAAAAAAAAAAAAAAAAAAAAAAAAAAAAAAGTCTTAATAAAAGCAATAAATTTTTCAAAATTATGACAAACACACAAGTTTGTTGATGACAATTTTCATGAATTTAGTTCATCTTTTGAAATATTTTCTTCAGCATTTTAATAATGCTGAAGAAATTTATTCAACATTATAAAAATGTTGAACAAATTGTTTGCCATTTGTTATTATGTTCTCTATAACCCTATCATTAGTTGAACACAGATTAATATGGCTTTAACATTATGCATGTGAGTACAGTAACCCCTGATGAAAAGATTATTACTGAACAAATATTCACAAATAGCAATGATGATGTTTGAAAAATGAGATAAATTTATACACATGGTTTTTCAAAAAGACTGAATAACTGGACATCTCTGGATCTGTATTAAGAAATAAACCAAACAAGGCTTTCAGGTTATTATAACCTCGTTCATATGATATATCTTAACAAAAATACATCAATTTAAAGTTTTTGAATATGACATCTATATAGAAATCTCCAATCAGTATGCAGCTCTTTATTTCATTAAAAATTTTTCAGGGAAAGTATTATTCTGCATAATGTAACGTTCACCTAAAATTTGTCCGAATTAGTTTAAAAACCACTCACTTGAGGAGAAGAGGATAAGAAGAGTCAAATGACTATTTTAGGATACATGGAAAAACATAATTTTGTTATATAAAAATATTTTGAATTGTAGTTGTTTCCATGTCCATTTACATGGAACAATGGTTGCCAGAGGTTATTCCAAAGAGAGGTTGTACTGATACTTTCCACCCCAATTTTAAGGGAGAGCAGCCTGTGTGTGTGTGGGGGGGGGGTATTTACAACTACAATCTCTGAATTTCCAAAAAACGAGAATACACTGAATTTTATCAAATATCGATTCCACAGAGAAAAATAGAACATATTCATGGAAAAAAGCAATTAATAAACACAAATGTTAACCTCATATTATGAACTCACCTGATCTTCATACATTTTCCCCAGTTCTTCATAAACACCTGCAGTATGTTTTATGGCTGCTGTTAGAGGATCTGAACCTGGGGAGAGAGGAATACTAGTATGAAATTTTCTATAAATAATAATTATACATAAAAAATAGACTATAAGTTAAAAAATTTCTGAAAAATTATAATTCTAATTAACTTCAATTTGTAAATAAATTTCACAAATAAAAAAAATTGAAGTGACTCCTCCCTAACTTGAGAAAAATAAATAAATATGTAATTGCATAAATAAAAAAGAGATGTGTAATTTATTATGTAAACATATGATGATCTACATATGATGTAAAGAAGAGCAAGAAATGATTTACAATTAATATATATATATACATATATATATATATATATTAATTGTAAATCATTTCTTGCTCATATATATATATGCAGGGTATTTCCGAATTCGACCAACAAACTCAGAAGGATGATAGCAACACCAGGAAAGGAATTTTATATGATACACCGTATTCCCCTCTTTTTTTTGTACGAAAGAATTTTAAAGTTGCAAATCAGTGCATCAGTATACAGAAAAATTGTATTTAAATGACACAGACTTAAGATCATATGCATCAATTAGAATTGTGTTTTACACACTTGTATTTGTATTTCCAGACTAGCTTCAACTGTCATTTTATATAAACAAATGGTTAGTATCATATGTAATTTCTTGCATACAATCCTTATGATTTTTTTTTTTTTTAGTTTATATTGCTTAAAATTGCTGAGACTGAACTTATACCAATATCTGGCATATGAATATGTCATCAGTATGGAATTTCCATGCAATATACTCAGAGTGGTGTCGATTGCGTTAGATTGCTACTATGTGGAACTAACACCCGGTAACCTATGATAACCAAAAGATATCCTTATACCTGTGTGAATTGCACACCTGTAACCTGTACAAAAGTCAATCAGTGTCATGGTATCAATTGTACTTGAAATTCAGAACGTTTGGATTATGATTCACATGTGTTATATTTAGTGCAGGCAATTGTATTTCTGACAACGTCAAAACATTTATAAAAACAAATTAATCAGTAAAAAGAAGATCAGAGTTCATCATATGAGGATAATTGGAGACAACAATGTTAATAAAATGTCATCAGAAACTGATAAGCAAAAATAAATTTACAACTTCACATGCAAAGAATAAGAATCTGATACTTAAATTAAAAACATACCTTACAATGAAAAAAATAAACTTTTACTGCAGATGAAAACCAGAAATTGAATTCAAATGATTGTTGGAAAGAAGTTACCCTCTGAAACAGTTTTAGTATGTAAGAAATGAAGTAACTGTGTATGAGTACATCCTTATGTGTGTAGAATATTATTATTATTTTTTTTTATATGGAATTTCATGACATGGAATGCTTGTAGATACGAGGATTTTATTATATCAAATACATGTTTTTCATGTCTTGACTATAATCATAGAGCTTCTGAATGCAAAAACGTCTAGCCTTGTTTTCACTTTCTAAGTCACATAAAAATTCAGCATGTAATTAGAGAAATGTCTATATGAGTGTTACTTATAGTTGATTTAACACCAAGATAGTGAATGCTGCTAAAATGATGTAATTCACAACCCTTATTTAGTTCACTGAGCTGCACCTTTATTATGAAATAAATTTCTTTAAAGAATTTTTTTAAGAAAAAAAAAAGCCATAAATAAATAATAAACACAAGAGTTCTGTTGTCCTTCATCTATTGTTCACCTGAATTCACATAAAACAAATCATTCTGCAGCTGATTTTTAGGATTTAAATCTTATTGCTTATAAATACTGCTTATAATCTTAAACTTAGTAATTTGAATTTGACTATTTGCTCACTTTACTTAAGCCTGAAACCAGTAATAAATCTAGGCCTACTGAAGATTTCAAAAAATTTTGCACATAAAATGCTGTACAGTAATATGGACTCGGATAGCAAATTGGGAATATGGGCCAGCCATGTCGGATGGCAGACGTGTAAAACTTTGTGATTTCTTTGTAGCAAACAGCTATTAATTTTAAATGAAGCTTGTTGTCTAAAATTTTGGTAAGACACTAGTTTGATATTGCTACCCCAAAAATTTCCATCCTATATACAGGATATAGATTTTCTTTCTGATTAGTATTGGTATTATGTTGATAGTATTTATCTTACAATCTCTATTACTTATATGCAGCAAATTACTTATTTTAATTAAAAAATATGCAATTTCTTTATTTTTCATATAATGTATCAGGGTTTGAATGCCATCAGTATTCTTTTTGGTACAAGTTTTCATTTTTTCATGTGAGGAAAATAGTTAATACAAGTAATTTTATTTTATACAGATCTTTTGAACTGCCACATTATCAATTCCAAATAAAAGTACAGTTGTTCCCTTTTGTAAATTTTGTAAATATAACTGATTTTTCTCTGCTTCTTAGTTTTTTTAATAACTTTTCTGTAAGTCCCACTCGATAATAATATGGAATACGGAGGACAGATTGTGCATCTTAATAAACAAAGAAACAACAAGAAAAGAAGAGAGAGAAAGTTTACATACAAGTGAAATTGTTCCATTCAAATTTGTATAAGAGAAAGATTAGTATTATTTCTAATGGTATTACATTACATATTTACATTTTCATAAAATTAATAGAATGGAAAATAACCTTTTATATTAAGGTAGGAAAAAAAATACAGTCAAAAGTCTTTAATCCGGACTCGTTGGAACTTCCGTCGATTCCGGATTATCGATTTTTCCGGATTATAGATCATCAGTTTAAATCTGATAAGATGGCATGCAGAAATTATAAAATTAAAAATATGAAACCATAATTTATGAAATAAAGAGCAATTATGATCTAAAGAGTATCAAAATTTACCAAAAAAAAAAGCTTAATAGTTATTTGTTTACTTTATTAAACATTTCTTTCAACGTGCGCATGCGTAAAGCATACATTACGCATAGTCGAAATTAGAATATTGCAACCAGAAAACTATTTGATGTGTACTCGTGATATTTATAATGATGAGGAATTCGATTTAAATCATATCAAAGACGGAATACATCGATATGAAATAGTACATTTAGTAAGGAATTACAAGCTGAATAAAATGAAAACATCTGCCCTGAAGATAAGGATAGTGCTGACAGATCAACTTCCAGTTCATTGCGTGCCGCAACATCCCCCCCTCCCCCCCGGCAGAGCAGAGTGAAATTGATAAACAGATTTCGGAATTAACTGAAATAGATAATTTTAGCTTAGCTTATACCGTCCGTTATACATTAAACGCGCATGCGTAAACGTATTATGCACATGCGTAAAAGAATTATGTGCATGCGTAAACGTTTATGCGCATGCGCGAACACATTATGCATTCACGCATGCGCAGAAAGTTTGTAGCTTTGAGGTCAGGATTATAGATCATTCCGAATTATAGGCGTCCGGATTAACGACTTTTGACTGTACATGTGTTTTGTATTTATGCTGCTGCACTGTTTTAGATTTCATTTTCATCTAACAAGACAGATTTTTAACTAAATATAAATCACACACACACACACACATATACATATATATATATATAAAAGAAATTCATATTTACTTGGAGATGAATCCATCTGGAAAGCTATTCCTAGGTCTTTGAAAGCATCAGACATTCTTTGAATTTCTTTTCTTACAGCTACAGGAAAAACAAAATGCGAAACCAGATAATTGAATTCAATATTTTAAATGCATAATTTCATAAAATTCAATATTACAACATAGAGAATTCATCTTTTTCTTATGATTCATCTACACTCTTATATGTGCTTTAAAATAATAAAATTAATGGATAATTTTAAACACATTATGAAAAAATATCAGTTTCTGAGTGGGAGGGGAATGACTTGCTTTACACAATACCAAATTCTTTCAAAGAAAATTTATTATAAAAGCCTTTTCTCATTTATTATAAAACAACAATACACATTATCCACCACTGAAAGAAGATAATGCAAAATTCCAGCTATTTACACATAAAACTTTTCATATAAAATGCATATTTTGAGGAAAAACTAAAAAGTTATAAATTAATATTTTGGAAAATAAATATTCATACTCTTACACAAAAATTTCACTAAAGATCCTTTACTTTCAACATAGTAGAAAACAACAACTTAAAATATGAATATAAGATAATTTTCCATTAATATGACTTCGATATTTTCAATTTAATCACATCAAGATGATTGGGAAATATTTATAAAATTGATACTTACGTCCTGCATATCTTTTATGTTGGTCAACAGCTACACTGAACAGCTGCTTTACGCTATCATCCATTTTCATAACAAACCGATGAAAATGATCAACTTGCTTTTCCCTACAATGAGGGCAGAATTATGTCCAAAGTAAAACTAATCAGCATAAGCATAATATTTGTACATAATTTCAGACAAGAAGCAAAAATTATATATTCATGCATCTCAGAAACCACATAATGAACTTGAAACATTCAGATATAGCCTATGATGATTCATGTAGCACAGTAAATAATTTTTTATGTTTCAAATGTCATGTGCTACCTGCAATTCATTAGGAGTTCAATCTTGTCAATTGTGTGTGGCTCCTATAGTAGTGATGTGTAGATAGAAAAAACCTTATTCCATAGAATAAAGAATGACTGTATTTAGTTTTTAGTTGCAGGAGAGATCTCAATTTCCTAACATATCACCAGGCTTCATAGGGAATATAGAGAATAATGCATATTACATATAAGTTGGTGGAACATACTGCCACACTATCATTACAGTCCAAATTTAGTCCTTAGCACCATTACAGCAGTCTGAGAGGAATATGCATCAAGTCAAACTCATTTTTTAATAGAATTAAAAAAAAAAAAAAAAAAAAAAACTTTCAGAGTACCGCAAAAGATACATTGCAATGGAAGGAGATATTTCAAATAATGCTTTTCAAATGCATTACCATTCAACTTTTTCAGAAATTCGATATGTTCAAGTCTTAACTGAATGCCAAATTACCATAAGTATTATTTATTTAAAAAATTTTTGTTCAAAATAGTCTCTTATGATATACACAATGCAAACTGCAATGTCTACCATCAAAAGTCTTTAATCCGCACTCGTCGGGACTTCGGCGATTCCAGATTATCGGTTTTTCCGGATTATAGATATCAGTTTAAATCTGGTAAGATGGCATGCAGAAATTATATAATTAAAAATATGAAACCGTAATTTCTGAAATAAAGAGCAATTATGATCTAAAGAGTATCAAAATTTACAAAAAAAAAATTGTTTACTTTATTAAACATTTCTTTCAATGTGCACATGCGTAAAGCATACATTACACATATTCAAATTAGAAAATTGCAACCAGAAAACTATTTGATGTGTATTCCTGATATTTATAATGACGAGGAATTTGATTTAAATCATATCAAAGACGGAGTACATCGAGATGAAATACTACATTTAGTAAAGAATTATAAGCCGAATAAAATAAAAACATCTGCCCGGAAGATAAGGATAGTGCTGACAGATCAACTTCCAGTTCATAGCGCGCCGTGACGTTCTCCCTCCAGAGCAGCGTGAAATTGATAAATAGATTTCGGAATGGTTATAGAAACAAAGGATATGCCTTTATCCATTTTTTGCAGCAATTTCACTTTTTGTTTGATGGACATTGAAACATGCTTTCGCTTTTTAGATCCTTTAGCAGCTCCAGAATCGGAAATTCTTTTTGACATAATCGAAAGTTCAAGTTTACTTTTATAAAATTGCTCTAACAGTCTGCAAAAAATTATAAGCCGGATCCAGTTAGAAGATTAAGGAACAACGCAATCTGCAACATTAACTGAAATAGATGATTAGATAATTTTAGCTTAGCTTATACCGTCCGTTATACATTAAACGCGCATGCATCAACGTATTATGCACATACGTCAACGCCTTTGAGGTCTGGATTAAAGACTTTTGACTGTACTTCTTTAGAATTTGCTTTTACAAATAAACTTATCAATTAAAGAACTGTATTAATTGATTAATACATAGGATTATAGAGAAAATTACATTAATACCCAAACATGATAAAATAAATAATAAAGATTATAGTAAAAAAATTATTTTTTTAAACTGCCAAACAGCTTTTCATGTATTTGCCTGGACTATAGCCAAATCTATCAGTCATAAACATACATTGCAGCACAGGCTGAATCATATGCAACAACTAATATTGCATTAGTAAAGAGAGAGAGAGAGAGAAAGCATACATCCATGTTTTATATGAGAATCAAAGCTGAGTCCATGGATGTGGATAGTCTTCCCTAAATCATAATAATGGCTTCAGCAGCAAGTTGCAAAATGTTTCACTGCTGACAATTCCATAAAAAACAGAAGCTTTTTTTTAGTTCCGATATTGCTTATCCATTACTAAATTAAATAAATTTCAAGTATTACATTGCATAATTTGAATGAGACAGCTTTAAAATGTGAATACAACAAAGCAAAACATCTGAAGAATCGTGGCACATCATTCAAACAATACTGCTGACACACAACCTACATAACAAAAGCACTAAAATGTTAACAAAATTAAATAAAAATGCTATAAAGTGGCTTTATAAATAATATATATTAAGTCAAAAAAGGCAGAAAATTTCATCAAGCCTTTTTATATAGTTTTCAATGTATTATGCTCCTTTTACGCAAAGATTTTAGATTTAAAGTAGAAAGAGCATTAAAAATTCAGAAGTATAAAATATATAATAAAAATTATTGCTGCCAGAAAATTTCGATTAACCTTCAAATGGGCAGGTTAAAACATGTTATACAAACAGATACACCTAGGGGAAAAAAAAAAGACAATTTTATATATCTCTTATTCTACTGGATCGATTGTCAAAATTTAAGTTGCGTTTACCATGTCTCAAAAGTGCAACTTACGATATATATTAAGACTTATATACAATCAAAAGTTGTTAATTCGGACACTCATAATCCGGACCTCAAAGCTTCAAACTTTCTGTGCATGCGTCGCTTTGACGCGACGCGAAAACTTTTACGGCTGCGAATATGCGTGTGCGCGTAATACGTTTACGCCTGCGCGTTTAATGTATAACAGACGGTATAAGGTAAGCTAAAATTATCTAATTCAGTTAATGTTGCAGATTGCATTGTTCCTGAACCTTCGAATTGGATCCGTCTTATTATTTTTTGCAGACTGTTAGAGCAATTTTATAAAAGTAAGCTTGAACGTTCGATTATGTCAAATAGAATTTCCGATATATATTTGCTAATATGTAAAGGATCTACAAAGCGAAAGTTTGTTTAGAAGTCCATTAAACAAAAAAAAAAAAAAAAAAAAGGAATTGCTGCAAAAAACGGATAAAGGCATATCCTTCGTTTCTCGAACCATTCCGAAATCTGTTTATCAATTTCACGCTGCTCTGCGGCCCGGGGGGGGGGGGGGGGGGAAGACGCCGAAACGCCACGCCGCGCAATGAATTGGAAGTTAATCTGTCAGCACTATCCTTATCTTCAGGGCAGATGTTTTTATTTTATTTCGCTTATAATTCCTTACTAAATGTAGTATTTCATCTCGATGTACTCAGTCTTTGATATGATAAAAATCAAATTCCTTGTCATTATAATTCGCTTCCAATAAAGAAGAAACTGATACAGAGGTTATTGAAAACGAAAACATTTCGATTGACAAATTAGTTGATATTCTCGATACAGCAATTATAGGACTTTAACAGTGGAACTTTGTAACTGAAGAAGAAATTATGTCTGTTTATAGAATTTAAGAGAAAGTATTATCACATAAAACGAAGCAACTTAAACAACTTACATTGAAAGAAATGTTTAATAAAGTAAACAAATGTTATTATTATTTTTTTGATACCCTTTTGATCACAATTGTTCTTTATTTCATAAATTACGGTTTCATATTTTTAATTTTAAATTTCTGCATGCCATCTTACCAGGTTTAAACTGATCCGGAAAAATCAATAATCCGGAATTGCCGAAGTCCCGACGTGTCCGGATTAATGACTTTTGACTGCAAAGCATTAATCTAACATGGGTCCTGAAATAACATACCAATTTTTTTCCCATATTTCGATTCTACGATTCAAATTATGCCTAGGTATTAAAGGGTACTTTTCCACTTTGCCTGTGCAAGTGATAGTCGCCAAAAATTGTACAACCGATACCAAACAAAACAGCCTCGCTGGTAATCTTTTACACCTCATTTTCAAAACAAGTCGCAGCCATTTCTTATCAGATTGATTATTTCTTTCAATACTGGTATACAATTACATAGAATTTTTACCCAGAATTCAATTTATACCCTAAGGCCATTCGCGGTAATTAAGTCAATAGGAGCAATACACCCACTCACCGAAGGCGAATTATAGAAAAGGCAAAGTCAAGGGTTAAATTCATCAATTCTAATGAGAATGCACTAGCAAAGCACTGCGGTTTACATAATTTCGGAGTAAGCTATTTGTACGAATTGAAATAATTCTTGCATTTAAACTTGTATTCCAAATTAAGATTTAACTTGAAATTAATGTAGATAATTACTGAGAGAATTAGGTTTTTGTAGTGTAGTTTACGTGAGATGAGATCACTTGGAGTCACATGATAAGAAACTGCGAATCAGGGTGTTTTACCATGAAAGCATAGTAAATTCTTAAATTAATGCCTTTTTACAAAATTTTAAGCGATATTAAAATGTTCATACCTTCAAAATAAAAATTTCTTAGAACTAACATTCTTTATGTATATACTGTGTGTTGTCGTCAATAAAGTCTGCTTGGTGAGATTTGCGCCGGCGAAATGGAAAAGTACCAAATGTAGTAATTTTTGGTGAGAAATTTCAAAATTTATCTTGTTCCATTTTTTTCAGTTTGTGCCAAGAATAATTCATTTGGCTAACTTCTTAATTTATAGCAACATATTTACCTTTCCTTTTTTTCATTGTACAAAAGAAGAAAAAAAAGTCATTGTTCATACTTTCAAATAATTTTAACACAGTGCATAAACCACATTTGGCATTATTATCGCTTATAACAAATATGCTAAATTTCAAAATGCGCCTCTATGTAAATTCAAGCATATTTTAGGAAATTTTGTATAAAAAAACTAATTTGTTGCAGGTATGCTTAGAAATATATCTACTTTAAAATGATGGTAAAAATTTTATCAATTACAATTCTAAATTTTTTTTGAATTTTTTAAAAAAAATTAGAATTATAGTAATTTCATAATAATTATTATAAAAATTATTTAAAAATAAATCGCAGAAAATGGCCGAATTTTATTTGGAATGAATGTAAATTTTAAAATGTGAAAAGAATCGAATTAGTTTAATAAAAAAAAAAAGAGATATTAATAAATGAATACTAAATTCAATTAACATGGAGAAGCTAAAATGTTGAGAGCTAATTTTTTAAAAACTACTCGTGTGATTTTTACAAAAACTTCGCACTTTGTTGGCTTTTTTGTTGTTGTTTGTTTTTGAGTCATAGAATCGAAATATGGGGGGGGGGGAGGAATTGGTATGTTATTTCAGAAAAAGTCTGATTTTGAGTCAAAACACCTATGCTTGAACAATGCTATGTATAATATGTATCCTAAGTCACACTTTCGAGCTATGGAAAACGCAAGTTAAATTTTGACAATTGGTCCATTAGAACGAGAGATATATAACTGTCCCGCCCCCTTTTTTTTTTGGTAAGGTATTGACGACACATTAAATGTGTTACTAGTTTCTAATACTTAAAAACCTAGAAACAAATTAAAATATCATAATTCTAAACAGAACAAAGACTTTCAATAGCAAACTATCTAATTAAAGATTCCCCAAGCAACATACCATCTACATACATTACAGTCAAACATGGAATGGAAACACATATGGCAGTGAAGAAAATATGCTACCACATTTGCTCAAAGATTAATTTTTACTTTCAGATATGCCTTTCTTATAATAAAAGTACTATTTGCTGAAAATCATAATTCATTTGACTTTCTTAGTAACGATACAGTGAAAAAGTTATTACTAACAAGGAAATTAACCCTGACTATTAAGCAATATCCACAGCAGATTGATCATTCAAAGTGTTTTATTTTAATAATACATATAAGATTCATTATTTCCACAAAGTAATATTTAAAAAAAAATTGAAAATAAGAATAAATTGCGACCAAAATTAAATTATTTTTTATGTAATTTAAATTTCATGGGGTTTAAAAAATAATTAAATATTTACATCATTAAATACAAATTCAAAAGCTATTTACTATTTAATATTAAATGGAGTAGCATTTTAATATTAAATAGTGTCAACCATTCTTAGCACTAGAAAAATAAATTAACAGCTATTTCTTTCACCTAAACTAGAATCATACAGTAATTCTTTGCATGAAAAAATAGCAAGAAAAACTTTTAAGAGAAGCATAAACTATAACAATACTAGGAACTTTGCCATTAAAAACTATAAGATGCCCTTAAAAAATATTTTTGTTTAACAAAATAACAGGAAAATTTTTTATAAAATTCAAAAAGAAATAATCTATTTTATATACTCACACAACTGAATTATCCAAAGGTGAAGATGGTGTTGAAATAGCATGGAAAAAAGAACCACCTATTAATTTGTCTTTTTCAGCATTTCGTTTACCCGTTTTCCATCTCTAAAATAAAAATTCACACTTAAATTCTAAATAATAACAGAAAAATATTATTATTGAATTATTTTATTTAACAATAGTCAAAAGAAAACTGAAAGTTATATTTGAAATCATGTAAAATAATTCATTAAATCAATTTAAAAATATACATTTGCTTATGAAAACAATCGATAACTTAGCATAGTAAATGCAGACATGACAAAATGCAATAAATTATGAAACATGTGGCCTAATACAGGAGGTGTGATCGTGGCTAAAAAGGCAATGAAATAAAAATAAAACTGTTAGTACTCCTGTACATAAAAATTTAGGGAAAATCATAGTTACCTACCATGGTTTGGTTTACGTGAATACAGCCAATGTTCAAGGGCTATCTGCCTAAGGGAAGGAATGCCTTCCTGGAGGACTTTCTAAGAGAAACTGGCTCTTATACATGTTACACATGGGGAAAACAACAAAAACGCCCATGCAGCCAGTCTGTTCGCAGGATTCGAACCTCAGACTGAATTGCCAGTGTTCAGTGACTTCACTGCTTGATCACTGATGGGCCTAGTTATCTGTTATATATAGATATATCAATGTATTAGATTGAAAAAAAAAAAAAAAAAAAAAAAAAAAAAGTGGGAATAAAGACTTTGAAATGTTGTATGGTTGGAGTAAGCTCTAACATTTTGATTAATTCTCCCAGCTTATTAATGACCGACACCACTTGGCATCACCAAGGTGTTAACATCATATTTAATCAAAAACAAAATAAAGTAATGTAAATGCTTTTTAAAACAGCTCAGTTAAGTATAATAATTTAATTATAGTAAATTTTTATTTACTTCTACAAAGCTAAAAAGAGTTCTACAATTCTGAAATTTAGAACTTGCTTGTATAAAAATTTACTAGCCATTTATACCTAAATATTAATATTTGATTGTAGGCAATAAAGAAACCATATTTCGTAAATTACATCAAGTTCTGTATGCAAATTGTATAGAGTATTATTTACAAAAAGGTATTATCTGTGAATATTTCAAATATGAAAGATTCTGTTTTCATTCTAGATTTAGTTTTTTTGATAAGCAATACAATATTTTCATGAAAACAGAAAAATTTTCATATAATTAATTGAAATTTATATCAAATTCTGACAACAAGAGAAAGACAATTTTGTCAAACACTTAAAACAAATAATTTGTACATTCTTTTTAGGTAAAGTTATAAAAACGTTTGATCATAAATAGGTAATTGCGAGTTTCCTTGATTTGATTAGATGCAGTAAAGAACAAAATTTAATGGTAAACTAACTGAATTTTATTGAAAGTAAATTAATCTCTTTTATGAAGACTCTGGAAGCAGAAATGATTTTTTTAGGACAAATACTTTAAAAATACCTTTTTTGAATAGCATATTTTGAAGTTTCATTAAGTTGCACTTTTGTAACCAACGCTTATTACTACAGTACAAAGTCCGTAATCCGGATTTGTCGGGACTTCGGCGATTCTGGATTATAGATCATCAGTTTAAATCTGGTAAGATGGCATGCAGAAATTATAAAATTAAAAATATGAAACCATAATTTCTGAAATAAAGAGCAATTATGATCTAAAGGGTATACTTTTTTTTTTTTTTTTTTAAAAGCTTAATATTTATTTTAAGTTTTCAGTATTCAGCAATCTTATTTGTTTACTTTATTAAATATTCCTTTCAATGTAAGTTGTTCAAGTTGCTTCGTTTTTTGCGCTAATACTTTCTCTTTAATTATCTCTTTTATAAACAGACATAATTTCTTGTTCATTTACAAAGTTCCACTGTTCAAATCCTGTAACTGCTGTGTCGAGAATACCATCGAAATTTTTTTGGTAGCATTTTTTACTTATACTAGATCCTTCAGTTCTCTGATTTGGACCTTCGATCAGACACTCGCCTTTTCCGTCGACTGATGATAGCCACCTGACTTTTACTTTCGTCTTTTTGTTTTACTGATGTTCTTCATGTGATACAGAGTAAAAGGACGTGCTGCTTTCTGAAACTCAAATTGACTATATGTTCTTAGTAGAAATTTTTTCGTTTTCAATAACCTCTCTATCACTTTCTTCACTATCGGAAGCGCACATGTGTAAACACTTTACTGGCTTTATGCGCATGCGTAAGTTTGTGGCTTTGAGGTCTGAATTAAAGATCATTCTGGATAATGAACGTCCAGAATAAAAAAATCTGATGTGTACACCACATGACTTCCTTGTATTGGAATATTAAATTATACACATCATTTCTTGCATTTCATTTAAACTTATTGGATTGAATTAAATCTACTTCACCGACAGCGCATAAACTACAATAGAATAAATGCATTCTTTAAAATTCACTCTAGTATTTGTTTACCATAGCGACACTCTGGCGCTAGATTCACTTAACAGTATTAATAATTATATAACAGTTAACTTATATAATAATTATATAATGCAAACTAAGTTAACTGTTATATAATCCAATAATTATATAACAGTTAACGTATATATTTCATTCATATTATAAATCATAATGCACAAAATTTATATCATTTAAAGAATAGAATTATCTAATCGTTGCCACATTTCTATTCAAATACTATAATAAAGCTAGAATGATGTATAAAAAGAAATTAAGCAAAAAACAAAACAAAAAGAAACAGTTCTTCACAGACGATTGAGTATTTCTCATTTAATTAATTCAGTTCTCACTTCGCGAGAAGGCAAAATGCATAAAAACTCAAAATATCTATGTTAAAAATTACGAAGTAAATCTTAAACACTTATTTCCTCGAAAAAATTCCAGAAAGAATTAAGCATGATTTAATTGGCAATAATAAATGAATGCGTTATCTTTGTTGTTGTGAAGCTAAGTTTCTCTAGATTGGCAACAAATCCACTAGTCTCCTGTTTCAAATGTAAACATCAATGGCTGCCATTAAAAACAGGCTTAGCGGCAATTAAACAACTTTAAATTGCTGATAATTCTAAAAATATTGCACACAGATTTACTAAAGGCATAAAATCCTTGACCGAAGATAAAAAAAAACACATAATTCAACCATTTTTAAAGCAAAAAATGGACAATTTACAAACATATAAGAGTAAGAAACTGAGATCACCGAGCCGGGTAACAGAGTGGATATATATATAAATATATTTATATATGTTTGGTGCGTCCGATTGCAACCAAAATACGAGGTGCACATCTACATGTTATAGCAGTCCTATATACAAAATTTCGACGTTCTGAGGCTACTCGTTTTTGAGTTATGCAAGATACGCACGTACCTACATATGTTCGTACAGACGCCACAAAAAATTCTCTTCAGAATTAATTTTAAAACAGTTTTATAATTTTTTTTGAAGGAAATGAGTATTTTATTCTGTCCTTACGTACAGATATCACGCAAAAACATCATTAAATTGCCTTCGATAGCGGTCAAAATGGATACTTTCATTGAAATATGCTGCCTGAAACTTTTCGCGATTACAATACTTCCTTTTTACTTCGTGCAAGGAAGTAAAAAAAGTGCACATCTTAATATAAAAATCAAAAGACCTTTGTAAAAAGGTAAAGAATACAAGTTTAAGGCAAAATAATAAGTTGTCAAAATTAGTTAAGAAAAAATTATTAAAATCTACTTCATTAATTAAAAAAATACTCAAGCAAAATATTGGCACTCTTCCCCCAAGGATTATTGTTTTAACTTAATTCATTGTTACACTAAACCCCCAATGGCTGAAAGACTAAAATCTTGAATGATTGGTAATTCATTACAAATTTTCCTGGTAGCTGAGTAGAATGGCTAATTAAGTTTATTTGAATATGGCAAATCACATGATAGCTATCTGTCTAAGATGAGGAATGACTTTGTGGAGGACCTTTCTAAGGAAAATTGGTTTGTATTTATGTTTCACGTGGAGAAACCATGGAAACCAACCATGCAACTAGCCCATTTGCTTGGGATCAAACTTAGGTTGAGCCCCTAGTATTCAGCAGTCTTAATCATTTGACCATTAGTCGGGTCACTGAATGAGGTAGCTATAAGAGGTCTTCTCCATAAATAATTTAAATACAACCAAGATTTTATGAGAGAGTCCTCCATGAAGGCATCCTTTGTTTCACACACATAGCCTAAAAGTACTTTGCCTATATTCAGTATGAAATCTAAATAAATGCAAAATACGTACACACACATACATACATATATACTATTATAAGAAAAACATAGAAAATAAGAAGGGAAAAATGTGGTCATACCTTTTCATCAGTACAAGTTAAAAAGTGCATCCAAACTTCACTTTGCGACAGAACAGGATGTCGACATATTCTGTTTACCCACATCTGAAGCTGATTCATTCGATGATCAATAAAATCTTGCTGGTATCGCCCTTGAAACACAAAATTATACATTCTGAAAAAACTTGTATTTCTTAGCATACTACATTACAGAAATTGACTTCTTTAATTACAAATTCTTTGCCATAATGATTACAATAAATCTAAAAATCAAAGTTGAACTTGATTCATGACATAACTACTTTCTGAAACAGCTTGGTGAAAAACAACTCTTGCAAGCTCATGTACACATGTACTTAGTGCATTTGAATCCAGTATAGAAAATAATTAAATTCTAAAACATAAGTAGGATTTGAAATACAATTTCATAAGAAAACTTTCCATTTTATAAAACACCAGCATTACATTAAAAATAATGATCAAATGAATGAACTGAATCATAATTAGCCATGCATATTACAACACTTTTGCTTCAAGCTGCATATATACCACATACTTTGAAAGAATTTAGGAAGAATATATGAATATGAAATTTGCTTGATTACTTCAAACCAAACAGCCACCCTCTTGAGTATAAAACAGAAATGTTTATACAAAATATATGATAATGGTGAACTTGAAATTTGTTTCTAAAAGTATACGAGGTGAATCAAAAGTTAAAGGATTTCATTGTTAACTAACCAGTTTCCATATTTATTAGTGTTCTTTTCCCTGTCATGTTCAATTAATCTATTTCAGAAGATGTTAATTAAGTTCAAACTGTTTAAATGTTACTCGGCTAAAGTATGAGAGTTTGCAAGTACATCGTATCTATGATTGTGGTGCAGTTCAATTCAATATTCTTTCACACCTAGCTGAATTAATGTTGAAGGAAATTAAAATCGCTTATTGAATTTGTGTTATTTTGATAAATATTCTGATTTGATAAATATGGTTAAATTTTGGTATAAAAGGTCTGGTGCACTGAATTATTTGATTTTAACAACGAAATAGCTTATTCTTCAGTACTTTAATTTGTCTCTAGTTTTTGTTAAATAATTTGATATACATCAACTACATTAGAACACCTTAAGAATACATACTAAAATAACTGAGCGAGTTCATTTAAAACCAGACAATGGACTGTTCTTAAACATGGTAACCATAAAATAAGAAAGAAGCAATGACTTGGAAGAATATGTACAGAATTTCTTCCTTCCTTACTGCATGCTTTTGTAACATAATTGGGAAACATGTCTGGCTTGAAATCAGCAATTTCAGAGCTAAAAACCAAGCAATGACACTACTGATTTTTCATGTTTCTTGCTCTGACAAATACCTAATGACTCCACACATGTCTAGGCAAAGCAGCTCTACTAAGAGAAAATGTTTTCGTTACTAAAAGCAGTAGTGATTAATTCATATTCTAGGTCTTGTAAATTATCAGAAAACAAAGACCTAAAAGTGTTTTAGTTTGTTTCATGTTCCAGATGTTATTTATTACAAGTATAGGCTGAAGCATGGCCGGTACCCATGCATCCTAATAGGCATATTAAGCATTGCCAGGCTTTGTTAAAATTGCTAAGTTTCCACCTTGGACTGAATTCTGAGGAAGAACACCATGGAGGGTGCGGTCTGAGGGCCTCCCAACTATCTTTCTCTACAACCAATCTCTTGGGAGGATTTCAGCTCAGTGTGTGTTTTAATGCCCCTTTGCCTCACAGACACTATACACTTATAAACATCTATGCCTTCTCCGGAATTTGAACTCAGGCTCTTCTGTATAGCAGTCACCATCATTACCCACTATCCTGTCTGGGCAGCCATTATGTATTTCACTGGTATCACTAACTTTGGATAAGGAAGAGAATGCATAAGTAAATGCAAGTTCTAGTCATAAATTGTAAATTTTAAAACAACTATTCAGTTTCCGTTAGAAATCAATTAATAATTTTAAAATGCAACAAAACATTAACTTAATTTCAAATACATTTGTTGCAAATTTGCTGTTAATACACATTTTTCACTCACTTGTAAAAGTAATGAAAAAAAAAAAATTACAAAAATGTTAAAGTTTCTATAAGATATTTAATAGTGAAACATTTTCATTCTCATGTCTATCTATTTCGCATACTTGACATAAATTATAAATGCTTATGAGTTTTTCTTTCAATAAAATTTATTATTTTTTTTTTTTATAAAGATCTATGTTAATTGTAATTTTACAGCAGAATGGTGACAAACATAAAATAGCAAAAAATTTGGAAACATTATATTAAAAAAAAAATTAAAACATACACAAAGGTTTAAGGTGAAAAATTTTAACAGGTAAAAATTTCAGTTATTGAGGTCAAAATTTCTGATGCAGATAACATATTAATAATAAAAATGAATTTAGATATACCTGATATTTGTTTATCAGGAAGAGGTGGTATAGGAATTAAGGAAAATTTTTCTTCTAGTCTCTCATGCAACCAATCAAAATGTTTGTATCTTCGACTAACTGCTATATTATTAAACTGAAAACAGAAAAATATAAATCATACAATATATATATATATACACATTATACCAAATTATTATTTTAAAGCAAAATCAAGTTATCCAAGTTCCCCTGCTGAAAATTAATAGACAATAAGTAAGAAATTTAGAATCAATTTCATAAAGACCCAAAAGAAGTGAAATTCATTGCCATTAAATTTCAGAATTCCCTATAAATATGTAAAATTAACCAAAAGTCAGAAGAGTTAAAGAAATGTGAAATGCTTAAAACCTCAAATTAAATAAGATACAAATCTGAAAGTTTTCAGATTTTAAATTCCGTCGAAAGGGGCTTTAAAAAAAATTTTTTTTAAACATTTTGTCTGTTACCTTTATTTATTAAATATCATGTTCTTCATTCTTAAACCATAAAATTCAGTTCAAGAACAATATCGCAAAATAGTTTTAAATACAGCATATCTTTAGAATTTCCGATACGCAGTCTCACGCGCTGGAAGAAAAAGTGTTTTTTCTGTACAACATTGCCATTGCTCGCTTTGAAATTCTTGAGTTTGTTAATCAAAAATTTGTTAAAGTTTTACAAAATATGAAATCAATAATAAAACAAATTCCAGATTTGGTCTTCCACATGCCCATATTTGTAGTAGGATTATGTCCTTCAAAATTCGATGGCTCTATGCACTGTTGTTTTATCACAATGCGAGAAATATACATACATTTATGCAGATTTTTCATTATTTAATTTCTTCAAATATAATGCAGGGGTCTAACATTTGGTGGCAACAATTTGAAAAGTGAAACTGTCATTTATAGTAAACCAACGCAAAATCGCAAAATGAAAACAACAGGCTGTCAGGAACAAAGCCCCTTTTGATTTAAAAAAAAAGGGGGGGAAGAGGAATAATGAAATCTGTTATAGCATTATTAAGAGGATTTACATTACACTGAATTGAAACCCTCTCCCACTGTGTTTCTATTATCCAAAATTAGCTGATGAACCATTCTAAGTTATTTAACTGTAACAGTTCATCTGAAAATATTGAACTCCTCCCCTTTTTTAAAATTGAAATTAATGTAGCAGTAAAAAAACTGAGACTATGAATATAAAACATGCAGTGGACGAATAGGCAATATGTTAGATAAATACACTAATGACATCCATATGAAAAAATCCCAGTATTAAATAAAGTAAATAAAAGATTAAAATTAAATTGTAGAAGTACAAAATATACTAGAAATTAACTTTCGGGTACAATTAAATCATTTAGAATGGATCACCAGTTAATTCTGGTTAACAGAAATGAAGTAGTTTTCAACATGGGGGGGGGGTCAACTGAGTCTGATGTACCTCCTTTTGATGACGTTTCATCAGATTTGACGGCATTCCTCTTTCTGTGTATTTATTGTCGTTTTTGTATTTTTTGATTTTTAGTATTTCACATTTCTTTAATTTTTTTGACTTTTGGTTAATTTTACATATTTATAGTGAATTTTGAAATTTAATGGTATTGAATTTCACTTCTTTTGCGTCTTTGTGGAATTGGTTCTAAATTTGTTACTTATTGTCTCTATGTAAAAACATTCTTTTATACAACTTGAGAAATCTAAATATAATATAAACTGTTTATCTAAAATAAAAAATACTGATATCAGATAACTTGCAAAGCTACTTTTGACAGTAAGGCAGGAAAAATACACATTACAGAAGAAGTACGTACAGTAAATCCTGGATTAACTGAACTTTATTTAAACACTGAAGGACAATAACACTGACCCTAACTCTGAAATCCAAGTTTTGTTTTAAATCAACCTTTTGACTGTCAAATTATTAAGAAACAAATACATACTGCACGGTGTGAAGTACCGAAATTTTGTATTAAACATTAAAATTGTTATTAAATGTATTAAAATGGTGAACTATACAATCTCTTAAAATATCTATTTCAATGAATGATTGCATAAATTAAAATCAGCATCAAAAGAGTTTTCTGAAAGTGCTTAATCTACCAAATGGTAAACAAAGACTTGTATAAATTACAGAAAATAAATAAAAAAAAGAATCTCTGTCCATGGGTGTTGAAAATATTCCAGAAAATGAGAAAGTGAAACTTGTAATTAAATAAGTAAGAAAATGAATCAGCATGCTAAGAGAAAAAATGAACATAGTGCAATTTACCGATTGGGGGGCGGGGTGGAAGAAATCGAATGAAAAAAATCATTAAAATACCAGAATTTTGACAGCATCTTTTGGGGAGGGGGCACAAATGCTCTTCCCCCAAAGAAGACAAACCTATGCCCATTACTCTCAAAACAATTTTATATTAAATCTACATCAATTTATGTTCGTCCCCCCACCCAAATTATATATTTTATAATGATAAGTTCCTTTTAAATATAAATTACAACAAACCTGAGTTTTTTAAAAATGAACTAGCAATGTGCTTTATAAAAGCTATAAAACGTTTACTAAAAAAGGTACTTACAGATGGAATAAGTTGATATGCTATGAAACTTTTTAAACCTTTTAATTTACTCTTTTTATTTGGATGTGCTACTGAACATGTGTAAGGAGATGGACTATCCAACCACATAATTTCACCATTTTGCTCCTGTAAAATAAAAAATTATTTAAATAAAGCATTTTAAAACATAATTTTGGTTAATAAAACTCATTCTATATTATTATCAGTTTTTACTAAAATAACTACATTAACTCTTTTATGACAGATGCCTCAGAAACTCAATCGTTCTCTTCGAACAGCTCGCTAATAGGATGTGCCATCTTGTTGGGATGAAAATTTGCACTACTAAGCCTAACTTTGGAAAAATTCACATACATCAAGCTTGTGGTGCAACTTTTCCAGTTTTTCATATATTATAAGAACACTCGGGTAGTTCAGTATTAATTTGAAAACTTTTATCACTATATTCTCCTTGCCATTTGAAGTATAAAAAAAGTTTTGCTAAATGATACACAAATTATTCGCCTCAACGCTAACCAAATTCTACGAGGAATGAATAAAAACCTCTAAAACAACAGGAAATACACCCTCATATTGCCAAAAAAGTATTCAGAGGTGCTGAGAACATGCCAATATGTTCATATCAGCTGATGGAGTTAATAGCCAGCTTAGTTAATTTACATTCAGGCATGAAAGTGCAAGCTGGCAAAAAAAGCTGACAACGCATGGACACAAAAACTAAATGCGCACGCGCGACCTAAAAAAACACATTTTAATAAAATATCAACCTTTTAATATAAAAAGTATTAAACATATACATATAATTAAACTAAAATAATACTTGTACTTACTATTTTGCTATTAATTTTATCCTTCCACTTGTAAAAAAAAGTAAATCACCAAGAGATTGTAATGCATTAACCTTCTTTAAGATGCTCTTTATGTAATTTAATTTAACAGTTGATACATGAATACTGTACACAACATTACAACACACTAATATACATATTTATGTTATATAATACTGCCTATTTTTAGGCAATGACAAGTTTTAGAAATAATATATATATAACGGTTCTATAGCTTTCAATTATCTTTACTTTTATTTCAATAAACAGTACTTCATATAACACCAGAAAAAGTAGTCATGTGAGATAATATAGTTACAAAATAGCATATAGTTAAAGGAGGAATATAAAAAATAACTACTTTGTCTCAGTCTCACTCGATCCTGATTAAAAATTTTTAGGGAAAAAGCTTTTTCTTTTTTGCTACTTTTGCAGCCAACTTTTCTAATTTCCGTTTGTGAGCTAGTCTCAATTTGTTTTCAGCAGCTTTTACACAATCCATTGATACCCTTGATTCGGATTTAAGATATTCATACTGAAAAACTTACAGCAACAAACAAAAGAGAAATAAAATAACGATCTACGCTCCGAATTTTAGTATGCCACTTTACACACGCAAAACTCGCACGTGCTCTGGATAACATCAGTAGGGTATCCGTATGTCCGACAGATGGTGCCAGCACCGATCTCTGAAATTATTGAAGTCAGTTCTCATTTGACGGTTGCTTGCTCTTCTTTGATTTGATATTCGTATGCATCTTGTTCCGCCTCTCCACATAAGCCCCACCTACTTCACCTTGATGTGAAACAACGCATTTTTTCGCAATCTCTGGCATGATGTAAAGTTTTTTTTTTTTTTTACAAAGAAAAGAGGAAGAGAGAGAGAATGTCCTCCATTTACCCCCCTCCCCCCACACACATTTGCCGATCACGATTTCTCAACGGTTTTGCATCAATCTCAGAAACAGCCCAGCTGACGTTAAAAAAAGCGGAATTCCGCGAAAACGCGGAAAACTTTCATGCCTGTACATTACTCAATCCACAATTTCTACTTTAATTCGGAAACAAAATACCAAAAATAAAAGATAGTGTAAGATAGGAATGAAGGTGAGGTATGTGCGAGTAACACATGCCTACAAAAGTATTGATAACATTACCTAGAAAAACAGCAATCATAATTGAGATAGGCATATACCATTAATAATGAGATTTAATAAGGAAAAGTAGCATAGATACATTATAATGGCTTAAGAAAGACCACAGTCCCTACACAGACACAGATGCCAAAGTTTACATATCACGGTGAAGGCACAAGACTGAAGTGTTACACAGACTAGACTGCCGGAGAAAAACTCGTCTCTCCCTGTCAGCCTATAGGGTTGCCATAAAGGTTTACTTTGTTTACTGTTTCACCAATTGCCGGTTTTCTCTAGAGTTTTTGAGTTTGTATCACCTGTTTGGCCGCTGCAAAGGTAAACATTCTGCAGACTTGATAAATTGTACCATAACAGACATAAGACTGTATACCTGTCCTGACAGTCAATTTAAACAGCAGTTCATACATGACATACAGTTGACGTTTAATGCACCTATGACACACTCATTCTGAAAAGATGATGACAAAGGTTTAACTGGCACTCTCAGTTGTTATATTACGGTTCTGTGTATTTATTGTAAACAGGAATGTCTGATGGTAAACTGAGAACTAACTAACAATTACAGTGTATCTATTAAAATGTACACTAAATTACAGTATATTCAATACTTAATAAAACATCATATTCTCAATAAACATAATGAAAAGATTCTTTTTATATAAAATCTATTCTACTTATACACACTATCTAATAAAGCCTATGTCATATATAGCTTAAATACTAAAAAAACAGAAAATTTGGGAAAAGTTACGAAATGCATATTTAAGAAATACTATGGTAGGCTATTAAAAGTTCTACAAAATATATGTTATATACTTACTAGAATTGTTATACACTGCTCTGTAGGCACACTTATATTTGTTCCTCCTAAAATATAATCTTCACCACCAGATTTAACAAATGTAGAAAACCTAAAGATAATTTTTTTTTTTTATTTTGATAAAATAAGAACTAATTTGTCAAAATCACATTTCATTAAAATTTGGAAATACAGCATTTTGAATGAAAATGACCTTCACGACAAGTAATATTATTTTATAATTAAAATTTAAAGTATTCTTTCTTTATCTGCCTGCAATATCATAAAATAAGAAAAAGTAATATGACATAATAACAAAAATAATTAATAAGAGAATGAGGAAAATAAATTTAATTACAAAAGTGTCATGTCAATTAGTGTTTATTTTAAGTGGAAACTGTTTGCCACAATATCAAGATTCATGACATGAAGATTTGAACTTTTTTGATTACTTAGGAAAACTCTACACTACAGCAAATATTCTATTCGACCTTCAGTAGTTGGTAATTCAAAGAGCCACATGGTGAGACTGAGCAACATGAGACTTAAAAAGAGAATTTCGAGAATAAACGTGGCCGCAAAAACATAATGAGATACAATTGCTAGATTTGCAGACAGACACAGGAAAAGTACCAAAATTTAAAAACATAATTTCAAAAACTGTTTAAAATAATTTATCAATTTATGATAACGAAAAGGAAAAAATAAAGATTATTTATATTTTTAAGATGATAGATATATATGCTGTATCTCATATTTTTATGACAGTTTTAATAATAGTTAACATTTTAATACATACATAGTGGTTATCTTGCATGTACATAAAATATTTACATTTTGGATAAATAACCCTGCCATTTTTTATAACATTTGCAACTGATTTTTTTGCTTTTTGTAAAAAATATTTATTGAGCATACCTCTTATGAATTTTGCACAAAAAGATAAAACTTTTAAAAATTGAAAGTGTATGTGAAGGATAAAACAAGTGAAAGTGTATGTGTAGGATCAATACTGAAAGAAATAAAGTATGTGGTCAACTTTCTTTGCATATTTACATTCCTTTCAAATTAATGAAAAACATGGTATATAAGTTTTTGTTCCTTAAAAAATATGAATTGGTCATACAAAATGCAAAAAAGTCTGATAAAAGAGGAGGAAAAAAGCCTTACCTATTGAAACTCTTCTTTAAAGTTCCTTTTGGAGCAGAAGAATCTTTACTTTCTTTTGGTGGAGCTAATGTTGTATTAGGAACTTGATTCTGAGTTCCAGACTGTTGGTCCTGAAGAAAAAATTTTAAATAGTATAACAAGCAAATAAAATAACATATTCAAAACGATCATTAAATACAGTTAGAGTTTATTTTAAACTAACCTGGGCAACCTTCTCTCTTCCAGCTAGCAGTGTAATTATTAAAAAATATATTAACCACATAAAAATAACATTTAATTAAATTCATAATAGTATGTATGTATGACTCTTTTGGAAATTATGAAATACAATATATTCAATTTGCACTCATTACATGCAAAATAACAATTGCTTTTATTTTACTTTTAAAATCTAAATGTGCAGAACTATCCTCACTGTCATATAAAATATTATTACCTTCTAATTATCATGCTGTAAGTATGACAAGTAAATCCTTATCATTTCAATTTTAACATTAACAAAAGATTAGAAAGAAAAATGGAAGAAGCATAATGCAATTTCATTTAAACTTTTTTTTTACACTTTGGATAAATTTTATTCGAATTTCTGTCATAATTAAAAGATAAATATTACTTATTCAATTTATATGTTTGGCAGTACATTCAGCTTATTAATGAAAATGATAGGCAAAGGAAGAACAAAAATCAGCAAACACACTGAAAACCATATTCTATTTAATATTGCTGTAAATATTTAAATTATTTTTTACTGTACTTTTTCTCCCCCTGCACTGTTTTGTATCGTTTCATTTATTTACCGTTCTTAGGTTGATAATTTTTGTGTTTAATTTGTGGCAACACGTCTTGTATTTAAGTGTTTATTTGTTACATAGAATTATAGGCCTTTTAATTCTCAGTGCAACAATGTTGGAATGATAAAAATAGCTCAATTAGAAAATGAGATATAGGCCATTTCCTTCCTAACGGGCTTTGGCGAAAATTTGCTGCCAAAGTGGCGATTTCTTGGCAATGGTAACTTTCTGGAAAATTTACAAAAATTCATTTTTGGAGCCCTATAACCATTCCTTCCAGAAGTTTCCATAGCACATGCTACAGAATGTAAATACAAGTCAGGAAGCTAGGGAGTTCAGTTGTGAATAACTGCACGATTTAGTGGTTAGTTGAATTACGAGTTAGAGTTTACACTCTGAGGAATTTGATGAACTTTACACTAATAAATCATATACTAAGGAGGAAATGCTTAATATCAGCATTCTCCTGAGTTATTTCCAGCTATTTATCATTATGCTGTGTGTGTTATTTATAGTGCTTATTTTTATAATTAATTGTTCATTTCTTTCTGCTCATTTTCATTTATTATTTAAAGAAATGCTGACACACACCTAGCTCACAACTATATGTTGGAAAAAAAATAGCAAGACTGCAGTCCTTTTAGAGCATGAAAGATTTATATACAAGAAAGAATACAAACAAGTAACTGCTATAAACATCCACTTATAAGAAATGTGTTTAATATCATCAATAACTGATCAAGCAAATATAGTTAAATATCCCCTTTTTAAATTATATTCTATTCATTTTCCAAAAATCTGCTATTTTTATTTATTT